CACCTCGCCGTCGATGTCAACCTTGCAGTTTCAGAACTGCAGACGTTCGACCGCCAACCGTAAAGATGCCCCTTTTTGCTGCATGAACAGGATTCTGCCCCTTGCATTAGGTGACCTCCACGTGAAAAGGCCACGATGGTTGACTGCATCCAGGAACCCAGCCCTCAAAGTGGCTGTACCTGACCCCCTTTGACTCCATACCAGCCACGCGCGGGCTCGAAAGATCGACTAGCTCGAAGAACCAACACGGAGTATGCCGTGAACGACACTGTGTTGACCTCCCGGCTGGCGAACGGACAGCAATTCTTCTTCACCTAATGCACACTAAAGATAGACGGGATCCATCTCGCCAGGACGCGAGGCCCGGTTTGGCGCGAGTGGGATCAATTAAAATCTGCAGGACGGTCGGACCTAGTGTTGATGGTGCTATTGTTGCTGGCGTTGTTGTGAAATCGCTTGGTTGTGATTGTCCCGGGCTTCAGGCCAACAACCGGGACCCGAACTTATTGGAGGATTCCCTGCTAAGTGGAAGGCCTGTGGAAGCGCCGTGGAAGCCCGCTTACTCTGCAACTACATTTGATCCTTGTCAGATTGTGCAGAAGATGGTGCTACCGATCAGCATGATTTGGAAACATGACCACTGGGATGGGTGATATCGTGGAATGTTTCGACTATTCTCTGACTTCTCGAAAGCCCCTTCCTGTCATGGAAACTCTCTTTGATAGCACATGGACTCCACCCAAACAGGCAGTGATCGACGGGGAAGGTCGCATACGGCGTTACTGGGGAAAGCCGACACACTTTCCCCCAGACGGTGTCCGGCAAACTTACATTGCTCTGAGTCTGATCCCGGTGCTTCCTTAGTGTTTGCGTCTTTCCCCGCCCTGTCTGCTATTGTTATGGCCATTTATCACATTTATTATTAGTTACAACTACGGAGTACAATAATAATTATTACCGAATGATCGTTGACCAAAGGGCTCGGATAAATCAATCAGGAATTAACCAAATTAATTAATTGATGACTCCGTACTAATTTGTCAATGCATACCAAGGGCTGATCCACCAGATGAAACAATCTAAGAGCACGTTTTCCTCGCAATCTGACTTGGAATGCTGGCAGGAAGGAAGGGCTGCCCCACAGGGCTGGGGAAGCCTGCAATCACTTTGAATCATCCACCACGTTCCCAAGTTCATAGGCAGGCGGTATGTGAATCGAGCTTGTAGGGATTCTGGAATCCATGGAACCAGGAGATGCATGAAGCTCCTTTCGTTATGCGCATTCTTAACCGACAGGATGATGCAATATGCACGACCCTCTGATTGGACGAATCGGTAACATTAGAGGGACGGTCGGGAGTGGAAAATTAGCAGCATTTGTTGACGTCTCGAGGCGAGCCTCACTTCTCAGCAGTACGGAGTACACAGTCAGGTGTTATTATTATCCCGGTGGTTTACCGGAATTTCCGAGTAAGGCCCACCTTAAGCGATCGCAGGAGTACGGTGTCGGTGTAGAGTGTACGGAGCACGGAGAAGGGAAGAATTACTGCAGCTGTGTAGTATTCATTTATCTTGTATGGAGTAAATATTGCCATATTTCCCTTATCTTCTACTGAAAGCCTCGTGTCTTACCCCCCTCTCAGATGCTTGGTGCTCCTGCCGGTGTATTTGGTAGTGGGTTCAGCTCCTTAGGATCATTAACCATTTCGGAAAGTGTACGCTTTCCTAAACCTGCCCAGACCAGACTAAATCGACCAGGGTATGGCTTAGTTCGGGTTAAGACATGCAGGGTCTAAACCCGGTTAGGAAAAGACCCTCGATAGGCTGACTTTTCCCGTAAATCATGGGGTGCCTTGAGGTGTCCCCCCATCCCTACCATCACGTGTTGCTGCGTCCCCCCCCCTACTCGAGTCGGGATCTTTTGCGAGCAGTCCGTCCTCCTCCGTACTCCGTACTTGCATGTCCCTAGTGTCCACGACCGTCAATATGACGACGATATGCGCACACTGTACATACTCCGTACCGATTATCACACAGGTCTATATTTATCCACTGTTAATATATGCATGTCGCATGTATCGGAGACTCGGAGTACATTACTCACGAGATGAGAATTGGAGACTCGACGGGAGGTTGTTGGCGGAATCTACCCTACTGGTCGGTCCAGACTCGACAACCGAAATAAAATTGGTGGATATTCGATTTACGGAAAGCTGAAGGTAAATCATAATAAAATCAAATAAGGGAGCCGACGGCCAGATCGATCGCTGGAGGGGTGCTATGACACGGCGGGTAGAACGGACACGCCTAACTCCGGTGACCTATGCCTCGTCCACGGCAGGAGAGCACCGGGCGGACAGTAGAGCAAGTGTTTCGACTTTCGAGGTCGGACGGTCGGACTCGGACCACGGAGTACTCGACGACGACCTGCTCCTAGCAAATTGATGAACCTGAGGTTGCCCACCTGGGCTAGCGGGGCGCACCGTTGGAGGCTTTGCTTGTGTTAAGGAGGGGGAAGGGCGTGACAAATCCCATTCGCTCGTTCGCTTGACATGGAATCTCCTTGCCAATCTTCCCTGCGGTGGTTGCCCGTCCATTCAGGCATCGTCTTATATGCAGCAAGTTATTATTAGCAGTTTGACAGGGTTAGCTGCTATTCTTGAAACAATCTGATTCTTGTCGCAGATGCAGGCGGTGCATGTTTGCAGATTCTGACGCAGTGTTCGATGACTGGGATAGGTAGGAATGCGCAACATCATTTACTGTCTTGCGACTACGGAGTATGATGCTATCGCTCGGGGTGTTTTATTTTATTTTATTTTCCCCTAATCTGGCCTGGCGATCTCGGTGTCAACTTCGAACGGGTCGACTGGGCGACTCCACTACGCTCATCGTTAGCTTTGAATTTCGCCTGATGGGACTTTCTTTCTTTTTTTTTTATTTTAATATTATTTTAATATTTATTTTCCTGTTGGCCTTACTCCGTACTCCGTACAGATTGCGACAGGGAAAAGATGTGACTCCCTATCCAGTATCCACTGATTCAGAGTGGGCCATCGAGGCTCGTGAGAGCCTGAGAGAGGGTCTTCAATCTCCATCTTCGAGTCTTTACTCTGTAGAGTAAGTAGTGAGTACCTTGTCCAGTAATTTTTCTTAATCATTTAACCCTCGCCCTCTTGTCAGATTTATTCATTTTTCCCTTTCTTGGCGCCCTGGGGACCAATCAGGTCCGATCTACAACCAACAATTCCTTCCTGCCATGTGCCTTTTCCCACGGTGTTGGATGCTACCCTGATCAATCCGATGGCAATCACCTCTTCGTGGTCCATCATCACTCCTGACACAGGGTGCGCTCCTTGCGTCGATGCCTCAGATTCTTTCTGGAATCATTCTCTATCATGCGATGTACATATTCCCCGGGAACAGGGCAGCCTTTCGGATTACCAGGAATAGCAAACAATGCTGGTTATCCATTTTGGAGCTGACGGGATCGACCTGGGATTGAGTCTGGGCCATGTGGTCCTGGAGAAATTTAATTACGATTTTTTTTTTCTCTTTCCCCCCTCCCTTCTCCTTACTGTGTAGCTCCGAATTTAGTTGAATTAATTTATTATCGTTCTTTTTCTCACACGGAGTACGGATATATTCATTTATTTAATTTCACAATTGCAGGGAGGAATATTCCTGATCCTCGTGGCGCTGGGGATGAAGACCCAGAATTTACGGCTCTGCCACTGAGGGAGTGGAATTCACCAACCGACAACCGTTAGAGTAAATCGTTTGCGATGGTCACCGATGACAGTACGGTGTATGCAGGCTTTCTTTTCCCCGACTTTGCAGGTGCGGCTGAGGCGCACCAGTCAGTGTCAATACGGGCCTCGTGCAGTTGGTTTTCCCGGTTTGGCTGGCCCAGGTTAGTCCCGCCTGTTGGTATGTAAAAATATCCTCCAAATCGTATCGACAGGAAATAAATTTAAATAGAAAATGAGAATAAAAATAAAAATCAATGCAATCGGTTGGCTTTTTTAAATCGAACAATAAAGAAAAGAAATAATTTAATTGTCTTCTCCTGCCCCGTTCACCACTGCTTGTTAGCTTCCACCACCTACAAATCGTCCTCGTGCTGGTATGATCATCCTGCAGATTGATCCCCAACTCCTCGCTTACTCTCCTATTGCTGCATCTGCGTACTCCGAGTAAACTGATAGTCCTGCTCCATTGCCTATTTGACTGAAAGCTCAGTTCAGATAAATTTGCGATTGGACTGGAGGATTTTAGCTCTTTTTATTTTTTATTTTTATCCTGTTGGATTTATTATTATCATTTGCCCAAGTCGGATTTTGGCCATTTTTCTAGTCCGACTTATTTCTCACTCCCTTGACAAGGGTCTGCAGTAGATCTCTTGCACCGGTACCTCGCAATATCCACTCTGGCACTTCTATATCAATTCCTTACTCTCACCTTTTTTTTTTTTTTTTTATTATTATTATTATTTCTCCCCCTTCCAAGCCTCTACTGCCACCATTCCGTCCGTTTCAGATCGTATATTTCCTTTTTCCATTTTTCTTGATCCTTATCCACTTTTCCCCTGCCGTATCTGACTACATCGAACCTGACCTGCAGATGCGAGGCATTTTTTTTTTCTTTTTTCCTAAATTATTTCTTCAGAACCGTCTGATCTCACCCCTCTATACCTAGTCCGCTTTTTACATCACCATTTCACAGCCCACCCTAATCCTCCTCCCCCCCACACACCCATACCGCACAGGGCTCTGTTCCTGAAATACTCCTGAATTATCCGTTGGATGGCCAAGGGATCTTCGTCCAACTCAAAAACTATATCTTCCCTCCCCCACCCGCCAATCCATCTCGGATCAGTTCTACAATCCTCACAGACATCCTTCAAGACCAACTCCTTCTCTCTTCTTCACTTTTCCTCTTCCTCTTCATCCGTCTCTACTTCTTCACTCTCCTTCAACAGTATCCCACAGTCCTTACCAATGGCCGCTAAGAAATCCTCTGGGACTACTACTACCATGCGTCGCTCCAGCCCTACCACGGAGATCCCTCTCCCCATCACCTACACGCCCACCACCCACCGCATTAGCAAGGCGAAGAAGGGAAAGCGTGTTCATGCTTGCGAATATCCTGGATGCAACAAGGTCCGTTTTTCATTGGCATTATCCTTTTCAAAAGGTCTTTCGAACTGACAGTCTTTCCCCAGGTCTTTACTCGCGCAGAGCATCGCAGACGCCATGAGTTGAACCACAACCCCGAGGCACTGTTCCGTTGCACGCATCACAACTGCAAGAAGGCTTTCCACCGTCCTGATCTACTGGCCCGCCACATGGAGAGACAGTAAGTTCCTCATGGTCTGCTTTCTCAAGCTCTTGTTAGCAGTTAGCTAACGAAGATTTCCCTTCCAGCGAGCTTGAGGCACAGATGGACAACACGCAATGGGAAAGACACAGCCGCGCTCCCATGGTCTCCGATGCCCACTACGTGCCTAAGTGCGCGCCCATCGATCCCAGCGCCGGATCTTACCTCGCTGTCACCCAGCAGCCCAACTCCATGTCTATCGGCTCCCTAGTGGGCCCTGCTATTCACCCCGATCTGACCGGTGACTGTGGTATGATGTGGAACGGCATGTCCCTGCACTCCGAGCACCAGACGCCTCTCTTCCCCGGTAACCACATCCACGAGTCTGTGGAGGACACTCGATTCTACGGATCTCCCGAAACCTGCTCTTCTCCCTCTTCGGACGGTGCCACTTTGTCGATTCCTTCTCACCCGCGATCTTCTCTCTCCACGACTCCCGTTGTTGTCGACCCTTACCCCGAGAACATCATTGAGTCCGACTTGTCTTCTTCTCCCATGTCTATGCCCGCCAACGTCCGATGCTGGGATCAGCACGATGCCGGCCTGCACTCGTCGAACTTGGTTCCCCTTTCTCTCCACGACAGTCTCGTCCAGCCCGTAAGTCTCCTTTGAATCGCGTTGCCTTGCGCGCAAAGAGCCAAAAGCTAACGCGAGTGCCAGCCTCTCCAGTGCCACTACCCGTCTCCTGCATGGTCAGCACCCCACCACCTGGGATACGAGGAGCACGCTCTTCCCCCTGTCACCCACTACGCCTCCCCTGTGGGCTGGAAATCGTGGGCGATCTAAATCCCAACTCAAAAATTGAAAAGCAAACCGATGAGACCTTCACCACACACGACCTAATATAATCATCGCATACGCTCCTATTGAACCCGCGGGTTTCTAATCAGGGCTTATGAGTCCTTTCTCCTTGTCTCTATAAACGAATTCGACGCATTCCATCACGCGAGTGGTTACACCACAACCTTACCAGCACTGAGAATCGGGTGACACGAGCATTTTACCTCGACGGGTTTTCTATCACAGGACCGAACTATCGACGAATTGACTTCAACGAAAGAAAACGGTCATACAAAAGCTTATGCAAAAAAAAAAAAAAAAAAAAAAAAATCCCACAAATCGACGCCCTGGAGGTTCAGAAAAAACCGTCGAGGTGATACGGTGCCACTTGACTCAGAACCTATTAACTTTTTTTCTTGTGTTCCGTCTCCTTTGTTTTTCCTTGTCTCTCTTGACTCCCCCCCCCTTTTTCTCACCGGATAGAAAAGTGCAACGGCTGTCTTATGTTCTATGAGTCTTTGGTTTCAGACTTATATTGTTGTCTCCTTTTTGTTGCTTTTTGCATTGGGTTTGGTTAGCGATTACCCTTCTTCTCCTCTTTGCTTCCCCCCCCCTTTTTCTTTCACTCGTCGATTGATGCTTCTATGTTATCCCCCCCTTTTTCTCTTTTCTGTCTCACGAACTCTATACCCCCGAGCAGCAAACACCTTTTATACCGTGTATATATACATTTTTCTTCTTTTGATCTGGTTGAATCTTGCTTCTTTCGCACGTCTTTTGATCGTTTTGCCTATTCAATTTTCTCCGGACGTTTTATACTTATAGACTTGGTTGCTTGCTTTTTATTGAACAAGAATATACTATTATGTTATTATACACTCATGGACACATTATACCTTAAACATAATATTCTATTGTATCATATTAAACTGTACGTTTTGATCTAGAACGAGCCACTAGAATTGGAACTGCAGGGTATTTGGCTGCCTAGTCGGTAGGTACTGTACCTAGGTAGGTATGTAGTACTCAGGTACAACGACACGGATGATCTGAACGGTCTGGCCGCTTTTTGCTTTTTAATTGTTGGTTCTACCACGTAGCATGGTGTTGGTTTTTCAGGGATGGAGTTTGTGAGTTTGTCAGCTGTTTGCTGACATGAGATGCGCTGAAACAAAGCTAAAGGATGAAGGATGATCGAACGAACAAGGGGCGAACCGGTGGAGGGAACAGGGAAAGAAGAATGGAAATGCAAATGGTGAAACTTCAGAATAGAGAAGAGTAAATACATTAGGAGATTCATGAGCTTGGATATCTGAATAATTCTACTAATAATGCGATAGCTCAGCACATCTCAGTCACGGACGGGAGATATTCTCAATCAAGAATTATGATGTTTTTTAGGCACCATGTGTCTCCTTAACATAGGTGATTGCAACTCCATCCTGGACCGCAGCTTGTTAGTTATAGATCCGAAAAGCAAGACCAAAATCTTGAGATGAGGGGATATAGAAATAGAGACGTACCAGGCCAAAATTGGTGTCCAGGAACTCTTGTACGCGCGACCCGTACACCAAATTAGGATTCGGTTTTAAGAAACCGCCAGCCGACTTGCTCACAATATCCTGCTTCTTCTAAGGGGTAGCGCAAACCCATTCAAGACAAACTGGCGCACCAGGCTTGATCACATTATCTGCCAAGACCACACTCTTCCCGGGCTTCAATGCCCCTAGCTCCTCGAGCAACCATAGGTCAGGGCGATAAAAGTCTTGCCAGTGATCAATAAAGATCATTTCCACGGTCTCAATCTTCTTCGTCTCGGTAACAAGTTCCCTCAGGACTTCGTGGCTAGCCCCAACAGCAATACGCACGTAATCGCGCAGACATGCCAGATCCACAAGCTGGGTCGCGACGGCCACCATCTCCGGATTCTTTTTCAAAGCTGAGGAACTGCCTTCCTCTGTTCTTTCTGATGGCGTCGCCGAAGAGAATAGCGGAATAGCCAACGTAGACGCCCAGCTCAATCATCATGGACGGTTTCCGGTCGGCAATGATGCCGGTGATAAACTCGCCCTTGACCTTGCCGACGTTCATGAGGTTTGAAGGTGTCATGGTAATCGTCAATAGCGGCAAGCACCTTTTTGGGATTACCCAGGATTTCCTTGATGTCTGATCGGTTGAAGATATCGATTTCACGGCCATCCTGTTGGTCTGTTAGAGAAGAAGCAAACGATTGGGAGTTAAGGGTAGATAGATTCAACTTACAAGCGCCCATTTCAAGGTAGGGGGTGAGTTAGGCTTGTCTGACATTTTAAAAGATGATAGAGACAATGGTTCAAGATAAGAAAGTCGAGCTACTTAAATGATTCTCGTGGATCTGATAGATCCTTGATGGCCAGCAAAGAACCCATCTTATAGTTGAATAGCAATCGGTGATCTGTATACTTGGGTTGATCTGGCCGCTTCACACAGAACCCGGTAATAATAGGTAAACAAGTTTCGCTCAATAGAAAAGATATATTATCTAGAAAACCTGCTAAAAGGCGAAGAATTCGAAAAAAAAAAAAAGTTTAACTAGTGTATATGATTCCTATCAAGGGAGCTAACTAGGTCTTGCCAAAGCCCACCTAGGAGCCAATGGATACCAATTTCAACCAGTAAGAACACACAAAAGCAAAGAATCCATCAAGCTCGATAGCATATACTTAGAAATGATAGTAATGAGCTCAGGCCTCCTCATCGTGAGAATGTGTTACAAGTGGATCATAAGTCGAGTTTCCATATGCATCTCCACCATATGTGAGAGATCCTTCCACCAGATCAGGTAAAACTACACGAGTTATCTGGGATGAATTTCCCATGACAAAGACAGCTTGCATACCGATTACCATATGCTGTAGAGTAGGGCAGTGTATCATCCAGACACTATTTTGATCATGCATTAGCTTATATTCACCATAGAATCTATATGGTAGCTGGAGGGAGACATACCCCGGGTTTGCAACTCTCAAACGCCACACCCGCCATCCTTGGTCAGTATAAGCATCGGCAGCAGTAGCATCGTCATCATAGGTGTATTTATAGAGAAATGACGTGTCTCTTTGGATAGGACGGTAGTTCTGTAGCTTCATCTCGTTCTCCGTCGCGTTATACGTTCCCCTTCCACTACCAAGGTCATAGGTGTGATCACCGTGATATGCCAGTAATAAGTATCATACCCACCATCCTGGCCGTTGGGCTGATTGAGGAGGATAATATCAATCACTTCGCCGAGCCTGGCGGGGTAAACATTGAATTCAGGGTCCCAGCCTGCGTGATTTTGAACAGCATTCTCATAATCCGGGATCGCCTTGCTACCTTCGTTGTAGATCTGAATCAAGTAAGGGGCGTTGTCACTCGGAGTTGTGTTATTGTAAGGTTTTCCGTCTTGATGCTCATTCATTCCGGTCCATGTGTGATTGTTCACAGTCCAAAATGCGCCACTGGCCCCGAGATCAAGGAGTTGTGTGTTCGTCAGAAAGACCTGCCGCGTCACTTGGTCGGCGGTGGGGAAATTGTTATCATGAAGCGGCTCAAGGGTGTACTCCATCCAGTCCTGGATATTGTAGGGGATATATACGAGACTCTTCGCTGGGGTGAACTCGGGATGGTCCGATTCAAGCTGCCGTCCGTTTCATATTCAAGGAGAGCGTAAAAGATGTTGGTACCGGGTCTCCAATTGGATCCAAAAGAGCGATTTTCCAAGTTGCTGAAGCTCATCTTCCGTCTTGGTATTCAGGATGAAATCGTATCTCTGTCCAGAGCCGACTTGCATTATGTTAGTCTCAGCTGGCTTAGTATAGCGACTATCGACAGCAATGACCGTGAGATTATCATGGTCTTCCACGGCAAATACTAGAGGGCTGAGTGCGACATCTCCAATCGTGCGCATCCGGTAGCTCTGGTTTGGCTTTACTTTGATGACCTCGGGCGTGCATGTCTCGTTAGATGAGGGGTTTGGCTTCGAGAAGGCTTTCTGGGCATTAGTCTTGTCTGCACCAAGGTCACGATAGTTCTTTCTGTTCACCAGAATAGATGCTGCTTCTCCTGTCCTGCGTGATGAGAATAATGTAATAGTCAACAACGGCATTTACTGGCTTGTGGTGAGCCATCGGAGTATGGAGCCACAGATTGACTCAATCCATGCCAGTGCTAGTTATGGGTTTTTGATCGAGTCAGCTTTCTAGCCAGTTGAAGCTCATTCCGAAAAAAGATCGTATAAGTGTTTTTGCATACCATTGTTAAGTTATCCGACGCGAAGTCATTGTAGAATCTAACCCAAGAAGTCTTGTTTTCGGCCAGATGGATCGCCGGTCCAGGAGTCGTGCCTGTTCAGTTGCGGTCAGTCAAGTTTCCGAGCGATAATACATTAGAAGGAACAAACCATTGATGACGGCGACTAGCTTGCTCGTGCAAGCAATTGACATGGTTTCCTCACTGACTCGTGGAATGTGATCGGGCTGGAATGTCTTATCATGTCGAAACTGCTGGATAGCGTGACTGCGCGATGCCATCGCCAGGAGACATAACTGTCCTACCCCGTGGAGTTTCATCTTGAAAGCGAAGTCACTGCTATATCATGAATTGAAAGACTGATTGCCCATGATCTCTATTTGTCCTTGAGTACGAGCACTTTATATTATGGCGAGAGCCTGGTCTGGAAAGGAATCTTTGAAAAGAGAACCACCAACAAATCTAAATTAGTATAATAACAATGCTGATCTTTGAATCTTCTTTCTTAAGAAAAGAACCAGCTGGGGGGCTAACATGGGGGCTAAAAAAGAAGCAATAGAGCGGCGGCTACATCATCATCGTCATCATCATCGGCTAGCAAGAAGGCTTAGCACATAGCTTATGTACGGTGTAGTCAACCGCACCACTAGCCTCTCCGTAAGGCGATAAGCCTCGACCGAGATCAAAAGATGTCATTGCCCAACATACATCGTATTCAATACGCCTGGATTATACCCACGGTGTTATGCCTGAAGAAGGAATCTTCGCTGCTACTCTTCTCCAAATACTTTCTTTTCTCCAGGATTAAAGCCAACAAGAATTAGCTATTCCTGCAGGAATTAGTTGGTTCATTCTCTTCGATAGTCATGGGAATTTTAGTACTGCTGTTAATTTGGTCGCCTCGAAGCTTCACTGCCTCCCGAGAGCCTTGTAAGGCCTTGATCCCCATACTGGGCCCCCATCCAAAGACCCGCGCTGCAATATACTCCGTGCATCATTCCAGCAACAGTACACCGTTGAATAGGCTCCATCACATAACCAGAGCCCTGACCAGTCAAATCTGGCAGAGTTGTTATTGTTACAGAGTAATGATAGCTCCTCCAGCGGGCCCACCACACAGGACACCTAATCCAATCATACCGAAGCCCATGCCGATGCGGGTGCCGATCATTGACTTGTCCCGAGTCAAAGACACAAAACATAATGGAGGCAATCCTATTAGTGCACCACTAAAGAAGCCTAATAGAGCTGCGATGGCAGGCAAACCAGCCTGCGAAGCCACGGCCATCAGACAAAAGATGAGGAGCCCAACGATGAGACAGCAAAGGGCGAGCGATGAGGTTAAAGGACCATGTCTTGTCAGACAGAGTGTTAGGAAGAGTTCGCCCAAAGAATGACCCAGCGTTTAGCATGGAACTAATTTACATCACCATTGTCGTGTCAGTGATACGGGCAGCGGCGGCAAAGCAAGAGATATAGAAAAGTAACACAAACAGACCGATGGAAGCGACCAACGAAGGGAAAACAAAATACATATAGGAAAAGTCCGTAAAAGCACTCCAGTCAATCAGGCTGCGAGCCTTAGGGAGTATCAACCGCTGGCGCATCACGACAATGGGAGTCAAGAGTGCGCCGAGAGCAATGAACCCGATGATGCGAGTAGCCCAACCAAAGCCAAGAGGTCCGATAAGTCGATCAAGGATAATGGGATAGACTATTCCACATATGGAAGAGCTTGAGACCGCAATTTCGAGTGCTAGACCAAGTTTGGCAGTAAAATAAGTGGTTGAAATTGAAACGCAAGACACGAATAGACAGCCGGCACCGATTTCGATCAAAAGTCCCTGGGAACAAAGCATTTGACCGAAATTGTCGCAAAGACTCAGCATCATATGACCGAAAACAAAACAGAAATCAAAAACCAGCGCAACTTGCCGCGGTCATAGATTGAGCCGGTAACGAAGCCAACTATAAGCAGCATAGTGGGCTGGATGACACCGATCCAGGAGATAGTTGAAAACGATGCTTTGAATAGTGTCTCTTGTTCATAGTACATCTGAAAGACTCCAGGTGCGTTCAATATACCCCATGTGTTAAAGAAGAGCACGAAGCCACGCAACGAGACCTCCGTTGAGTGGGGACGAAACAGGGCAAAGATCCACACTAATCTTTCAAAGGATTATTTGTGATTTGGGGGCCAGCCACATCAATTCACATGTATCTAAACATCTGGGACCGATCTACGGAGTACTCGGAGTACCCAGACATACAGTTAAAAAGATGCTCGAAAAACTAATACTAAAAGACTGACGTCATCATCTGTTGGTTGCTTGCTCGCCGAGTCTGGAGATGAAACAGAGTTAAATGATGAAGGATGACAGAACGAACAAGGGGCGAACCGGTGGAGGGAAGGAAAAAGAAATGAATCGAAGGATAGAGCCTAGGTAGACCCATACTCTAACTCTTGTACGGAGTACTACTGCATAAGGCAAGGTAGGTAGGCAGGAATAAGTGTACAGTACATTCTATAGTATTAATGATTAATCATGTTAACGTACAAATATCCTGGGTCTATCCACCAAACCAAACCAACAAATCTAATTTTGCAATGTGAATCCTTCGCCAATCTACCTTCTCCTGTCTCTCCTCTTCCCCGAAGGAAGTGATACCTGCAGTAGGTGCCCTTGTCGTTTTCATGAGACTCGGTCCGAGTTCAATCCAATCCAATCCATCACCATCACGGTCCTCAAATCTAGGTAGGTAGATTCCTACCTACCCTAATTCCCCTTCGCCGTCTTCTTCGTCTTCTTCCCCTTCGGCACCCGACACAACCAATACAAAAACACCGCCGCACTAATATTAAACACCACATACACCCACACGAGACCGAAATCCCTCCACCTTGTCTCAACATCAATACTCACGCCTCGCAAGAAATCATTCGTCCACGTCACACTGCAAAACTGACATTGCTCATCCCCACCCGCATCTGGGTGCAAAACCTCGCCACCCGCCGCCTTGACATACGGACCCAAGTACTGTCCACAGGTCTGGTTCTCCGGCGCAGAGAACCGCAACACTTCGTTATCCGCACAGTGCATGGGGGCATTGCCGAGGCTGGTGGACAGGAGGCCTGACGTGACGTATGTGAAGGGATTGACGCGGTACATGAAGATCCAAAAACCAGGGAGGGCGTCAGGGCCTGCGAGGATGCCGCAGAAGGCGTAGAGCATGATGGCGAGGATATTAGCGAGGGCGGTGGCCAATTCGTCGCTAGGCAATCCGGCAATGAGCATCTGGGCGAAAGAGCTGGCGAAGAGGAAGAGGACCCAAACGATGAGGAAAGCGAGTGTGCTGCGGGAGTGCATGGTGTGGGTGTATTGTGCATTCTGGTAGAGACCCATGGGATAGAACCAGACGAGGAAGCAGAAGATAGCCATGAGCTTTGGGTTTAGGGTTGGAAGGTTAGTTTTATTCTTCTCGTTTAGGGTAGTTAGTGAGAGGGAGGGGAAGGGGGATTTACTGTATTCCAGGCAAATTCGACGGCGATGTTCGAAAGAACAAAGGCTTGCCATGCGTAGGTTTTGGATTGCCGTTCGCGTGCCTCGTAGAGGGTTCGTTGCACGACGAAGACCGGGATGATTTGGAACATTAATTGGATGACGACGAAGAAGAAGATCAGGATGCCGAACATCTGATTCTGCATGCCTTGGGTGGTGTTTTCGCTTTTGAAAAAAGAGAAACCGATGAATATAGACTGTGCATGGTTAGTCCGGCTATTTGTCTTAAGAACGAGATCTATTGACGTACAGAACCAATAGTAAGCAGGGCCTTAGAGTAAATGTAAGAAGGGGTGCGCCAATATTGCTGAAAGACGCGCAGCCCAACCTGGTACATCTGCGTCGTCCAAGGTGCTGCGAATTCCTCATAGCTGGATTTGTCGTTTGGATCAGAGACCGCGGAAGGAGAATTGGCCAGCTCACGTAGGCGACCAAGCTCTGCACGAACTTCCTGGCGCTCCTTGCTATTTTGCCAAGCGACAGGCCAGTCGATGTCTGTATGGGATCCAGGTGCAGCACCGATCACTTCGAGCATGTGTTCTGCCGGGTTAGCTCCAGGTGGGCAGACCGGACCACCATTGCGCACAAAATAATTTTCCAATATTTCCGAGTCTTTGCCGATTTCGCCGAAATAAACCGTCTTGCCGCCTTTGGCGAGAAGAAGCAATCGATCGAAGCGCTGGAAGAGCATTGCAGACGGCTGATGGATGGTGCAAAGGATGGCTTGACCGTTGCGAGTGAGCTTTTCCATGAGATTACAAATGGACCAGGAGGTTTGACTGTCTAAACCGGAGGTGGGCTCATCCAGGAACAGAAGCAGTTTAGGGCGTGCTGCGAGCTCGACGCCGATGGTCAAGCGCTTTCGCTGCTCCACGTTGAGCCCTTCACCGGGAACTCCTACTATGGCGTCGGCATATTCGTCCATATTGAGGAGGCTGATGACTTTGTCGACATAGTCTAACTTCTCTTGTCGGGTGAAGTGGCTCGGTTGACGAAGAAGAGCACTGAATTCAAGCGCCTCACGAACAGTTGATGTGTGGAGATGCAAATCTTGTTGCTGCACGTAGCCCGTCTTGCGCTGGAACGATTCATCGCGTTGTCGACCATCTACCAACATGTCGCCCGAGATCACCCCGACCGTTGTGCGACTGGCGAGGACGTCAAGAAGAGTAGTTTTACCAGCCCCAGAAACACCCTGTGACGGTGATGGTTAGCATCAAAACAATTCATATGAGAAGTGGGTAAGAAAAACAAAGGATCTATTGCATACCATGAGTGCTGTCAAAGTGCCAGGCTTGATCCACCCGTCCACATTGTCCAAGATTCGCCGAGGTTCGCCCTTGATTTTGATGTCATAGCAGACATTTTCCCAATGAAAAATCGACACTTGCTTCTCCACGTCGGCATCTGATTCAAGACCGCTATCGTGTTTCTCATGAAGCTCAGGAGAGCCAGACTGCTCTTCGTCCGACTGCGACTGTTTCGCCTTGGATTTGTGTGCCCTTCCACGACGGAAGACAAGGACTTCTCCTTTGGAGCGCTCGGAGGCTACCAACTCAGACAGGACCAGGTGGCAAAAAGCGAGGAAGATAGTGAAGGCAGCAATGATCCCGAAGTTACGCCAGCGGTGACTATTCAGATATTGGTAGGAGCTCTGAACAAATGCCGAGCCACTGACTGTATCGAAGCCGGGAACGGAGCCCGCCGTAGCGCACGCGCGTTGGTCTAGAGAGATATCCTCATACCCCGGACCAGACGGTACGAATGCGACGCACGGGAATTCGCGTCCATGGAACTCGTTGACCATAATAGCCTCGAATCCGTAAGAAATAGGGTTGATATAGCGGATCCAATGCGCCCAACCACGCATGTAAGCGACCGGCAACGCGAACCCGGTATACAAAACAAGACCTAGCATGATAATACCGGATGGCGCGAGAGCTTGAGCAATTGTTTTAGTGATCGAGGCAAAAAGACGGAAAAACATCGACATAGACATCATCGTGAAGAACGAGATCAAAAGGTAGAAGAAGAATGGTCCAGGTTCACGGCGAAGATTACCCATAAAATACAAAGTCGTATTCACGATCAAGGTATTGGTGATCTTGTAGGGCATGTCAACGATCAAGGACGAGATCGCTTCGGCACTAGGATGATATAGTGCATAGCGATTATGTTTTTCCACAATCTGTCTTTTGGCATAGAGCGAGAGAATTTCAAGTAAACTCGAGAACGCATTCAACACGACCATAAGGAACAATAGAGCACCTCGGGCAAAGAAAGAGGATGTATCGTTTGCAAGACCATAGAAAATACTGGCGATGATTAGAGCTTCGAAGAAATTTCCGATTAACATGGCGAGAGTGACGCTCGGGTCATTTTTCAGCTGCTGTACTCCTCGCCACATGCACAGCTGGATTTGACGCCAGTAGGAGAGGGTGTATGGTGACTTTTGGCGTTGCTTGGATGACTTTTCCATCTTTCGAGACTGATCGAACTTCTCAAAGTCGGCTCCTTCAAACGGGTGATCCTTTGCGTACTGGTCGATTTGGCGCAAGAGATCCTGGCGCTCGGGGCTATCTTTCCATCTTTGAGCAAACTCATCGGCGGTTCGAGGCACTAAGTGTTCGAACCCAGGCTTGATCACTCGTTCAACAGGACTCGTCATCGACGTGAGGTAATCAGCCGTAGTTTGAGATTCAGGACAGTGAAATCCGAGTCGTTCAAAATAAGCGTTTGCATCGCCTGCCTTGCCGAAGTAGATTTGCCGTCCTTCGTACAACACAGTCACTTTATCAAACAACTAACCTAGCTGTTAGTACAAAGATGAATTCTTTGAACTGGAATGCTTCACATACCTCATAGGCGGCCTGGGGCGCCTGATAAATCGCAATGCATGAAGTCGTTCCGAAAACATCGCTTTGAGTGCGCAAGGTCTTGCAGAATTCAACAGCATTGGCACTATCGAGACCCCGGGTGCTGTTGTCCCAGCATTGCAACGGGGCATAGCTCAGCGCAGCCTCAGCAATTGTCACTCGCTTCCTCTCACCCCCACTGACTCCACGGACAAAATCATTGCCCACCCGTGTGTTAATGGTGTGACCGATGCCGAACATGGCCATGATCACGTCCCGCAGATGAGTCGCATATTCGTCACGGCCGATGCCGGCGGGAATCTGGTAGGGTGCACGAGCAAGAGCAGCGAAGTAAAGGGTGTCGCCCACCGAAAGCATAGGAAAATGGATGTCAACCTCTGCGGTGTAGATGGCCTCGCCTCGAAATGCGGTCGTCATTTGTCGGGAAGTGATACCGTGGTAATTGATGTATGAATCCGGATGAACTTCGAAACCATGAGTGTCGCCGGCAATCGTCTTTAATAGTGTCGAGCAGCCCGAACCAGGAGGACCGAGAGCACATAGCTGCTCGCCCGGTAGAACCAGTCCGTCAAAGTCTTGAAGAATGTCGACCTTCTGTCGATGCTTTCCACTGAATACACGGAGAGCCATGGACGGAAGTTTGAGCAAGGCATTACCGACGCTCATTTGGTAATCGGTAGCGCTGCCGTATCCATACACCTGAAGACCCTTGAAGGCAAACCCAGAGAGCCGTGGCTCAGAGTTGCCCTCTGCCTTGTATCGTACATTGTAGAAAGCCTTTGCCCAAGATTTGGCGCTAAAATCGGGACTCTGGGGGTCGACCTTCTTTCCGGGGTTTGGTCCGAAGAGTGGTTGGTGATGCGAATCGATCGACCTGGTCGTGAACTTGCGAGCAAGATTGAGTATCTCTTGCTCTCTTTGGGCCTCGCTATCCTCGTGCACATCGGTCTCGAGCTTCTTTCCGTGAGAATCCTCGGCCTGATGAGTATGGCTAGTGGAGGTGACCATTTCATTCGACGAGCTGTCGCTGGACGGGGCTAGATTACCCATGAGATGCGTGGGTGTACTAGTAGCCTTACCTTGGAGTGACATCCCGACGAAGTCACGGGGCAACAACGAGCATAGAAGAGAAGGAAAACGATGCAAGGATCGGCCATTGTTAGCGGCATACTATATACTAGAGCCTCTCATACTGCTTTCGGACCATAGGCGCCACGAAAATCCCGATGGCGGGATCCCGAAGAGGTAAGATTAGGGGTGAGACTAGCTCCAGACCTGCCAGAAGCAGCCCGCCAAGCCATTATCACGAGAAAACCAATGGACGGGAGAGATCGCGGCGAAGGACGCAAGAAGATTGGCAGCTTGTCCAGCCAAAACGGCGGGAGTGGATTTGATGCCAAGACGAGGCCTGACGCGCCGCGGAGTCCGAGGGATGCGAGTGGTCCGCGGGCTCCGTCAGGCAGGGAGCTGACAAAAGGGCGTGAAAGACTCGACAAGACGCAGTGCATCACCGAAATACGAAGTCTCTGAATTAAACTTCATCTTTGATGACGCATGAAAGCCACTCATGCCCGTATTTGCCCTTGGCGTTAATGTGTCCCATGAGAAAATTGACGCTTTATGTTGCTCAAGTAGGTGATGTGTCTATTCCCGTTAATTAGTAGTCTATGATACATAAATACATTTACATTTAATAATAATACAGTCGACCTGCTGGTGCCTAGCCAGTTCGTTGCGACGTGAAGCGGCTAATTCAGCAGCTTGAGTACCAGCTCATATGTTCCCAGCGTGATCGCCGCCGAAGGGACGGTGCGGATCAGATGCGCCGTCAGTCCGCCGTAAAGGGCGACAACTCCTTCTTCTTTAACCATCAATCGGAGGCATTGCATCACCCCGGTGTATTTCGGGTGGCCGTTGGCCATAGGGGCCTGTCGTAGTCGAGTCCGGAGTACCTATCATTTTGTTAGTCGCGGGAACGGACAAGGGACTCGGGAAGATCTCACCTCGTGGGGGTAAGCGATCAAGACGGCGATCAGCTTGGAAAGACCAGCTGCACCACTGAGAATCAAACCCTGGGATAGCTCGTTGTTTTTCTTCTCGTTCTGCAGCTTGTTCTGATTCGCGAGCATGACCTTCATTCGTTCGTAGGATGCAAGATGCAGAGTGGTCTCGATAACTCCCAGGTAGCTCGCCGCAAGACCCCGATATAACCCTCTCAATCCTTCCTGCTTGACGACCTGCTTCACGCAGTCATAGCTGCTCTTGTACCGTGGTTGCCCACCGCTTTCCAAGTGTGACTTATCGAGTTGAAGCCGGGTCTTGACGAGCCAGATAGGATTCGTCGCGGTACCGGTCACAACACCGGCCGTCGCCGCCGAGAGAGCGTGTACCGACGTAGAGTCGGCATCCTTTCCCAGCAGGCCAGGGTAGAGCCGTTTGCAATTGCCGTACGCGTAGAATTTGATCGCAGTGGCCGGGACCACACCCGTCAGACTGGGTCCCAGTCCTCTGAAGAGACTGCGCCAGCCCTCGACGCGGTGTATCGTGAATAGAATGTCAAAGGTCTCACGGAAATGGAGAAGGAAGGATCGTGGTAGAGACACTCGGGTCTGAGGCGGGGGAGCGACGGCGGATTTGGTCTGCGAGCGATAGAAATCTGATTGTAAACGAGTTCGAAGCACATCTAGGGGCGACGTCAGGAGGGCAGTAACCATGCCACCGGTGCTGCAGGTTGATTCATTAGCATCTTGGAGATAGACTCCGGGATCGTCGGGGATGCTCACGCGCCAGCAATGAAATGCGTCGACGGACTGGTGGCTTTATGGACATGCGGAGTAACTGGGTCATCGGAAGCGGAAGCTTCTGCGAAGGTCTTTGGAGGCGGACCATTGTCGATGTTCTTGCGGAGTGCCTGCATCTCCGGACGTTGGGAAGGCGAAAAGATTAGGATGGAAAATGAAGGGTAATTTAGGCCCGTCGATAAGAAATAAAAGTCAGTCAATTTAGATTGCCGTTATCGTAACGCATGTGAAGCTAAGAGTAAACTTTTCTTCCCCCAAAAGCTAAAGCTAAAGACAGAAAAAAAAAAGGTAGGGAAACAAAAATTTGACAGCTGGGGAAGTTTGAGATCTTTCGCGCCAAGCACAGCCGGCCAGGGACGCCGCGAGAGGCGTTTGTTCTGGAATTTTTTATTGCCAAGCCTGTCCGGGATCACATATTGTTCCGCTCCGAGGTCCAGCCGTCGGGGCCGGATTACTAACCGTTCACTAATCCCAAAGGGGACGGGCTATCTATATAACTCTATCTTAGTTTTGTTCCTATCCAAGCGTCTACATCCCGTCGGCACCATCGAAAATGCACCTATGCCTTGAATCATCATTGGTCTAGAAATCCGATACGAACCCCTGTAATCATTATGATGCCACTAATGTCGATGGTATTATGGCCTGAACTCTTAACAGATATCCATTCTTTTCCTGTATGTTGTGGCCCACGACTCTTGAACCCAATATGGCAGATTCTAGCTCTATCCCAGAAAAGTACCTGGCCGATGACTGGGAGAACATCTATAATCGCCCCAGTCAGTCCTGCGACGGTCGTTGTTGCTGCTACATATGCGGCTACAAGTTCTTTGCGCATTTTTCTGCCGGCTATTACCCGCTTTTCGATTGCCGATATGTTGCCTCAGGAGGATGGTGCAGAATTGAGGATATACCAAGCATTGCCGACAATGCTATTCGAGAGCACTTTGGGATACGTAATAAGGGCTGGATGAACCAACCGCCGTTATTTCAATCTCCTTCATCATCCGGTGTCTTCTGCGGCCAGACCTTGACTTACATCAACGAGAGGCATTGTGAAGTATTGAAAACGGTCGGTCTTCTAAGGGAAGCTCAACACCAGGTTTCAAACTACTGTGACAAGTTCAACCGAGAATACAAGGTCCAGTTGTGTCCGCTTTCCCTCATTCACGGGGAACAGGCAACCTGTCTAGAGCAATATTTCTATGCAATCTTGAATGTGACAGATGTCCAGTTGCCATCGGATGCTTTTGCAGAGAATGGTACTGCATTGCCTGAGCCAGGTACGCAAGTGACCATAACACCAAAGGTTCACGGTAGCAAAACACGGGAAACTTGGACAGGAGTCGTGGTAAAATCTCCCAACTTCCCTTCCGGCACTGTTGCCCAGCCACCAAAGGCTGTGGTCATTCGAATACGGGTCAATGCTAGCGCAGTCAACTGGGAATGTGCTGGAATTGTCCGGGTTCTATAAATTCGGTCGTGACGCCCCCGTATACCGGCAAATGAAGGATGCAATCCGCTGTGCGATGTATGGAAACAGAGATCCTGGCGTCCCGTTTAATAACTACGTTAAGAGATTACTTCTTGCCCGCGACAATGGTGCTATCATGCATGAACCCCCTTTGCAGCTTCCTCTTGGTGCCAAGCAGTACATCGACAGACTTCCTCGATTTTTGAACGCCGAACAAGTCGCCGCCCTCCGAGAGGGGATGATACCCGCAAACTCATACAATAATTATGTCAGTCTGGTGACCGGGCCACCCGGAACGGGGAAGACGATGGTTTCTGTTCAGATTGCTCTTTATCATAGAAAACGAGACAACAGAATTCTCATCGTGTGCGGGTCTAACCATGGCCTCGACGTAATCACTAGACGACTGCTTGAGGAACTGGGAAAAGTAAAGCTTTCATCTGATGGGGTATATCGACTCGAAACAGTGTTCGGCGAGGACATTGAAAGCCAAATGGCGCCAGATGTGCCGGGCGCGGCTAGGACTTAAGACTTATTTGAATCCACTAAGGAGCAACTGTAGGCCGCTGGCATCGACAGAGCATATTACAATATTCTCCGCTCTAGTATCGAAGCGGCGTCTGGATTCGATGTGTCTTTGGGAAGACACATCCTTCGCGGACTAGATCTAGCGATCGGGCTCAAGTCTCAATGGCCACAAACAACGGTGGATCAGAGGATAGAGATGTTTCTGTTGTGGCAATTGATTACGTACCAGCACTGCCTAGCTAAAAGGGGCGTCCTTTTCTCCGAGTCCACAGATATCCCCTCGCTTAACCTTCAAGTACGGCGCCCAGGATTACTATTACAAGAAGACCCCGAGGATGTCATGAAAAGATTAAATTCTGAGTACAACCGAGCTTGGTTCGACCTCCAGGAGTTCTATGTCAAGAATTCAAGGATAATTTTGTGCACTTCGTCCACCGCAGGGCGGAAGGCGTTAAGAGGCTTTGCACCAGAGATCATTCTTTTGGAAGAAGCAACACAAATTACGGAAAGCGTGGCCGTGAACTCCTTCATTCGGTATTACCGATCGGCGAAAAAGGTCATCCTAAGCGGTGATGTGGCGCAGCTCCCGCCCACAGTCACATCATTTGGCAAAAATGAAGCCTACGAAGCAGAGCGACTGTCACTGTTTGAACGGTTCCTGAAAACTGGGGTACGCCATGTGCGCCTAAGAACCCAGTATCGCATGCACCCAGATATCGCGGAGTTTCCCAATCGCGAATTTTAATTTTACGACGGAAACCTTGTAAACTCATACATATCTTGAAACCGACAAATTTGAACCCCTAAAAGACATGATGGCGAAAGAATATGGAATGTCGCGAGGACATTCATATTTCTTCTCGGTCACGGACTCAACCCTATGGAGACGAAAAACAGGGTTTTCATTTTTCAATACCGAGAGTATGTTGTCATGATCGCGAAGTTGGTTAGCGAATTTGCGAAAAGAGGTTTTCCCGCGAAAGGTATCTTGATTCTTTCCTACTACTCAGAAGAAAGGATCATTCTCATGATGCTCCTGAAAGACAAGCTAAAGCTGACACAACTTGAAATTATGAGTGTGGACGCCGCCCAGGGACATGAAGACAAGATCGTCATTCTCTCCACAACCCGGCCAGGCGGGAAGCATGGTTTTGGATTTGTAACCGATTCCCTTAGGTTGTGTGTGGCCCTGAGTAGGGCAAAAGGAGCACTTTTGGTGATCGGGTATGAAAACATGGCATCAGGTCCAAGTGTTGGACGAGGGTTTGAATTATGGCGGAAGCTTGTTGCGCACCATAGGGATCGTAAACAGCTTGCAAGAGTAAACACCACGGGGGATAACTCATTGAACCGCCATTTGGGAATTCCCTAACACTCAAAACTTCGAACGAGTTTAGGGCCTACTTCCGAATGGGGGGGGGGGGGGGGGGTTGCTTTTGCGTGAAAGCCAGGTAGCTAGTTAGTTTATTTACACCAAATTGATCGATTTGCTTTCCATGTTCCCCGTGGCCAAAAGTGTTTATTTGGTAACGAAGTTTCAGGAAAACCCCTATATTAAAGGGCTTGTCTTTTATTTAATGAAGGTGAGTAGACTTTTTACCTTGAAACTCTCAATATATAGCTATGTTTCCTGGACAGGAGTATTTCAACGTCAGGTTGAAAGAGAACTTGTCGGAAAGCTCACGTTGAAAGAATTGACGGTCAGGTCATCTTCATTTTATAAGATCCTGCTCCATGATCTCTACAAAATGCTTATAGGAGCAGAATCTTCGAAAATGGCTCATTCCCAACTACGAGCATCCGCTTAAACTACCCCAGCCAAGCGCGAGTAACCAACTCCAACCCTTCTTTCATCGCATCATGATTCTGACTCCACGGTTCATGCATTCCATGACCACCAGGGGGTGTAGACAGATGCACTTTAGCAGAAGGCTGCTTTTCCTGCAGCAATGCCGTGAAATCCCGACTTCCCTGAACCGGGACGATATCATCATCCAGCCCATGAATGAGAAACAACGGCGGGATCTTCGCCCCACGAGATACCCTCTCGAAGGGGAACAATCTCTCGTCGGTCCCGAAGAACTCCAAGAACCGTGAATTGTCCATCATTGAAAACGCGAACGGGAAGCGAGAGATGGTGATATCAGACGACAGAATAGAGTTCTTATCTTCTTTGTTTGCAAGATAATCTTGGACTAAAGAAGGGGGCGCTCGTGGGTTGGAATGTTGCGCTGTGAATGGTGCGGATTTCAGGTCGATGCAGGGGAATTCGGAAATACAGGACTTGATGGCGTCGGGGTGGTTGAGAGAAAGTTGCACGCTTAGGTAGCCGCCTATTTGGATGTTCGTATCGTCGAAGTATGAGACAGGAGTAAAGGAAAGGGGTTGCTAACCTGCACTTTCACCTGCAGTCATTATTCTAGACAAATCGGGCTCAATGCCAGAGAAATGATCACGCAAAGTGTCTGCCAATTTGGACGTGACCCAGGCCCATAGATGATCGATGTCTTCCATGATATCCATGCCGGTGGAGTCCGGAAGGAGACGATAATTGGGAAGCACAATGATAGCATTATGCTGCAGGGCCAATTCAGCCTGCCATTTCGGAAACCAGTCTGGAAACAGACTTGATCCTGATACCTTCAGGGGGTGGTCAGCTTGATAGTTTAAATGACCCTGGCAACCTGAATACATACAAAACCGCCTCCATGGAAGCGAATAATGACAGGATATTTGCCCGCAGATGTTATTTTCTTGGGTACTAGGACATTGACGGCGATATCATGCTGGGAGACTGTCTTGTAGGTTGTCGAGATGATGTTAAAGGGGTCGAATTTCGGACTTGATGACATTTTTGCGGGGAAGTGGCGATGAGAGTTGACAGACTGACCAGGGGGGTATCATATACTGGGGATGAAAAGTCAAAAGTAATGAACGGGATTTATACCTCATTTTGAACTACCGTATTGGGGGGTTTCGGTTAAACTTCACGGGATATTGTATGTTCAATCCGGTACCTACGGAGTATACTGGAGCAGCCGAGGACCCATTATTGAGGCTGGAGGCCACTCACCGGGCGAAGATCGGCCTTGACAAACAGGACAAACCACTCAAACAAACGACTTGGCTCCACATCGTGTGAAACAATGCAAACAGGACAAGGATCAGATTGCTTCGTACGCTAAACTAGACACGTAAGAATCTGTCAGCGAATATGGGGCAATTTTACCGCTAGGATTCAACACCTTGCCGCTTCCGTCTAGATCAACTCTGACGGCATTTCATGGCTTCAAGATAAGCCGATTTCAAAGAAGCCACGTAGTCATATTGCATGTTAAATAGCTTCGTTTCGATCCTCTAAGTCAAGAGGATCAGACCTTCATTGAGCCTCGATTCTGCATACAAAGTACTAGGCAATACGAAACCTTATTGTTCCAATAGAATCCTTTGTAAACAATAATGACCTTGAAAAATCACAACTCGCTCTTGGATGGAATCACTCTCCAGCACCATCCACACCAACTACGATCTTGTCCCTCCTCTTCCCGAACCAAATATTGCCCGGTTTCTCGCTCGTCTTCGTGTTCAACCACGCAGGAGCCCACGGTAACCCGTTTCTTGGCCTTTTGCTTCACCACGCCACCTATTCCAATGATTTCCTGCCTGGAATAACCAGGTTCCTCTTCTTCGCGACTCTCCCACCGGTCATTGGAATGATTGTGCGAATCCCAGGGTCCATCCCCAAGACGAGGGGAATGGCCATGGGGACTACCCGAGGACTCGTCCGCTTCACATTCCACTTCCATTTCGATCTCTTGGGCGGCCAAACAATCCTCTCCGCGGCCGCATTTTACTCCCTGACAGCCCTCCCCGATTCCCGTCCCCAGTCCACCTAGATGCGTACTGTAACGGGTGCGCCAGTTCCAGACTCGGCGATATGTGGTGTCACTACTACGTAGTCGCATACCACAGTGGTGACAAATCCAAAAAGCATCTGCACACGTGCACGGTGTCCGTAAAAACGCCGGTGCTGTAAAGCTAGATTCGTCTATCGACGGCGATGCCCGGGGATTGTGACGGCGGGAGGAGGGGGAGATGAGATGGTCGGTCAATGGCGCCGTGCGGCAAGTAGTGCAAAGACGACGAATCCGGTTTTTGAGCATACTAGTTGTTGCAGGCTTGGCCGTGCAGTTCTAAGGAAACTGTTAGTAGGAGAGATTTTGAAATTTCCTCGGGGGAATCAAAAGGGGCTCATACGCGACACACAACCGTGGAGCATCTCCGGCATTCTGCGACCATATCCCGAGCACATTTAGAAATTTTGCCGGTGGTGAGGCGCCCAGAGCTCATAGCTCCCTGACTTAGGAGCCGGATCACGGATTTGACACTATCAGGTATGACGGTACCGCTCTTCAACAAGTCCATCAACGTCTCAACGTATTCATTCTCGCAGCGAAGGGTTTGTTTGACTAGCTGCTGACGATACGGAAGCAAATTGGCGTGGAATTGGCGGCATGTCTGCGACAACGAGTCCAGCGTGTTCAAGTCCACCAATCGAGCGATTTCTTTGATGACTCTGGGGTCTAGTTAGCATAACAATGCCGAAGCAATGCCAACGTGGCTCTAGTTCACGAATGCTCCATACGGGTAGCAACTCAATGCAGCAGAGAAAGAATTCCGATTCGGAGTTTGCTTCTCTGGTACTGATTGAGATTGACGAGAGTCACGAGCCGGATTGGCAGAGGGATCATCGTCGGTCTCCTCATCCGCAGGGCGCGAGACAGGATCAGAGCTAGCTCCCACCAGCTTTGATACCGTAGGCTTTCCAGGCTCTACATAAGGGTGAAAGAGAGGGTCAGGACCCCTTTGAAAGCTACGTTTGTTAAACGCATCGTGATCCAGGTCAACAAACACAACCATTTTGCGCAAAGTTAGGGAGGAAATGCGAAAAGAGAGTTCAGAGTATGCTTTGCAGTAGCTTGAAACCGGGCAAGGCCAAGAATCAAGTAAGCATCTGAAAATGAGAAGTCGTCGTCTGAAAGTACAAGAAAAAATTCAACCCGGGTGCTCCATGGCTTTCGGCGATGGAAACTATTATTATACTGCGCACAGTCTTTCCAGGATCACAGTGGGATGATGCGGTTGAGAAAGATCCCTCCGTCTTCGGCGCGGGGCCGTCCCAAGCGGTGGTGTGTGTCGGCGATCAAGAAGCCGACGACGTTTCTTCTGGGTCAGTGACTCGGTACGCGCGAAGTCTCTCTGAATCCGGTGGTCCCGAGTGGAGGTGGTGGGGAGATGAAACAGGACGAGAAGAGTTGAGGTCGGCAAGCTTCCCCAGTGTGTTTTAATCAGGACCAGTCCGGATCTTATCTTGATCGATCGCGTTTTAATCAATCACCCCCTCGGTCACCTGATCTCCCGCGCCGGGTCACGGGATGACGCTGCACCTAGAACGGCATAGGGCCGCATTCGTCCCGATCAGGAAGGCAGTGTCGCTGACGTGATCGCAGGCAGCGGCGGGGCGCCTTCTCCGGACATGCGGCCCTTTGCTTTCTCCAACTTTCCGTTCCCCTCGGAAGGCCTCTGCTTTCGATGGCTTCTCCAACCAGAATTCCCGAGGTCATTGGCGGGGCACAATGTATGACACCGTTTGTTATCTTGGCTCAAATGACCCTCCACTCCCTGTGACTAGTCCTCTTATCTCCTGAATCTTCTATTTAAACCGGATTCCCCCATCTACGAGGGCCTAAAGCAATTACATTCTATCCTATCCCCGCTGTGCGACAGAATTCAGTCACAATGCCTCTCAATTCAAAGGCTATCTACTCTCGCATTAACCCTGATCTCACTCCATTTTCGAGTCGAAGGAGTACTGTACACAGTACCAATGGAATTGTCACTGCGACCCAGCCCTTGGCTGCCGCGGCGGGCCAACGGATTCTCAAGGAAGGAGGAAATGCTGCCGATGCGGCTGTAGCTGTGGCCGCCGCATTAAACATCACCGAACCTAGCTCCACGGGGATTGGAGGAGACATGTTCTGCCTTTTCTACGAGGCCAAGACCAAAAAGGTTCACTCTCTTAACGGGTCGGGAAGATACGCTGCCAATGCCACGCTAGAGAAAGTCAGAAAGGACTTAAACCTAGGACCGGACGACATGGCTGAAGTTCCATTCAGAAGTGCGGTTGCGGTGACCACGCCGGGGGCGGCTGCTGGATGGGTTGATACCGTCGAGAAGTTTGGCAGCGGTAAGCTGTCTCTGGAGCAAATCCTGCTTCCAGCCATTGAGCTGGGAGAAGAGGGATTTCCTGTGTCTGAGCTGTCGTCTTATTTCGTACGTCTATGCATCTCTATCTGATCCCACGAGCCGTGACTAACATACGCCTTAGTGGCACGAACAAGAAGACCTACTCCGCCAAGCGTCACCGAACGCGCATGAGATGCTCAAGCCCGATTCTAAAGCTAAGGACGGGTTTAGAGCTCCCCTGGCCGGCGAAATAAAGAAAAATCCCACCCTGGCACGAACTTTCCGAACGCTCGCTACCGAAGGTAAAAAGGGTTTCTATGAAGGTCGGATTGCAGAGGAGCTTGTCAAGGTCGTTCAGGACCTTGGAGGCTACTTGACTTTGGACGATCTGAAGAATCACGCCGAAACGGGAAGCCAGGAGACGGAAGCTATTTCCCTGAAATTCACCGGGCAGGGAATCGTCGAGAAGCAATCGGAGGGTACGCATGACGAAGTCAACCAGGGTGTGGAGATTTGGGAGCACCCACCAAACGGACAGGGCATTGTCGCACTCATGGCATTGGGTTTACTTGAAGAACTAGAGCGAACGGGCAAGATTCCCAAGTTCACGGAGGCCCAGCATAACTCAGCCGAGTATCTCCACGCCATCATTGAGAGCCTTCGAATTGCATTCGCAGACGCCTCGTGGTGGGTAACCGACCCGGACGTCGAAAAAGTCCCAAGCCAAGAACTCCTCTCACAAGCCTACTTGGCCGAACGAGCAAAGCTGTTCAGCCCCGACAAGGCCTCTGATATCCTTGACCATGGCAGCCCGGCCCACAATCACTGCGACACTGTTTATTTCGCGGTTACCGACAAAGATGGCAACGGTATCTCGTTCATCAACAGCAACTATGCCGGCTTCGGAACTGGTATCATCCCCAAGGGTTGTGGATTCACGCTGCAAAACCGAGGCGCCAACTTCTCTCTGAGTCCCACCCACCCAAATGCTTTGGCTCCTGGGAAACGACCCTACCACACTATTATCCCTGCAATGATCACCAACATCTCGGATGGTTCTCTTCACTCGGTATATGGCGTTATGGGTGGTTTCATGCAACCGCAAGGCCATGTCCAGGTTCTGCTCAACATGCTTGCTTTCAACTACAACCCCCAAGCCGCGATGGATTCTCCTCGGATTTGCATCGCCGCTGCGCCGCCCGAGCTGCCTCAGGATCGTACCGTCTACGTGGAGGAGGGAATTAGCGACGAGGCCGTCGCAGGTCTACAGCAACTCGGCCATAAAGTCAAAGTTCTGAAGGGCTGGGAACGGGGCATGTTCGGTCGTGGGCAGATTATCCGCTGCCACTACGATGACGGAAAGCTGGTGTACAGCGCAGGAAGCGATCTTCGAGGCGACGGAATGGCTGTTCCTGTGGTCTAAAATCCCAAGTCTTGCTAGCCCTACGATTTACGTTGCGCGATGATTACCTAGCTTGTATATACTTTACTTAGTATGTCGATTAATCACCATTTTGCAAACAATCGTATTTCATCAATCATCAGGGGGAAGATAACTATACTCGGTAATGGGGGGAAGGGTTCATTCAGCATTTGCTGTTCAACAGCACAGCTCAACTGTCAAACATAAAAGACAAAACCATGATGTTACAACAACAAGAAGACACAAAGGCTAATGATCAAAGTCAGAGTCAGAAAAGACATGACATGACATGAAAATGCAGACGCAAAAAGGCTAAAGAAAACTGGGATGAAATGATGCCAAACAACATAGATAAGATAGTAAGACAACAAGAGGATGGGAAATAGAATAAGGGATAAATAATAAGAGATGGCGCCAGGTTTGCTATGCTCCTCCCCTCCCTTTCGCTTGCCTTCCATGCTCACTGCTCACTAAATGCTATATAACCCGCTCAGATGCATGGACTGATGGCCGTTAGGATTCCAACAGGAAAACGACATAAAAAAAAGGACGAAAAGAATATATGGATGAGGGAAATGGAAAAGGGGAAGGCAAAAAAGAATATTAGGGGGAAATGACAAACAAAGAAAGAAAGAGAGAAAGAAAGAGAGAAAGAAAGAGAGAAAGAAAGAGAGAAAGAAAGAGAGAAAGAAGTGGTCTAGAACGAAATATAGAAAACAGCGTAAGCGCTGTTTTGGAAAGTGAATGAGCTGATTTGTGTGGACATCGATCAATGCGCAGCAACGGCGGCCTTGAACATGCCCTTCAGTTTAGAAGAACCTCTCATAGGAGAGGGCTCGCGACGATGCCGATGATGCCGATGGCGTTCTTCGCCCTCGCGACGGCGACGACGACTATCAGATTCCTCTTTCGCCTTCGCATCCGCAGCGGCCTTCATTTGCGCCTCTTCTTCATCGGCCTTTCGGCGCTCATCCTCTTCGGCTTTGCGGCGAGCTCGTCGGGCCTCACGTCGGGCCTGATCTTCCTCCTCGGTGCGGTGGGAGCCGCTGGAGCGCTCGCTGGACCCTCGTCGGCTTTCATGAGAGTGGCGATGGCCGTGGCTATGGCTGGTTGAGATGTTGGCGGCGGCTTTGGCGCCGTTAATGACGAGAAGAGGACCGTTTTCGGATTGCCCGTCCGTCATGTACTTCAAGAAGGCTCGAGGTTTGACCGACGAGGACGACGAGGTGTGCTTAGAGGAAGAGCCTGGTTTGCGGTCACGGTCTCGTTGGTCGCGCTGTTCGCCGTCGCGGCTTCCGGAGTGATCTGAGCTTCTGTGGTGGGATCTGCTGTGCCCGGATTCTTTGGCTCTAGGTGCGCGCTCGACACGCTCGACACGCTCTGCTTGTTCGACCTTCTCGACTCGTTCAGGTCGCTCGGTTCGTTCGGCGCGACCAGACCGCTCTCTTCGATCAGAGCGCTCAGGACGCTCGACACGCTCGGCGCGTTCCGCTCGTCTGGCTTCTCTTGCGCGGTCCTTCTCCTCGGCATGGTATGCCTTCTCATAGGCTTTCTCCTTTCGTCGTTTCTCCTCCTGTCTGGCCTCGTGCTGTCGCTTAGCCTCATCTAGGGACCTGGTCCACCGGTTTGTGAGCAGACCGCCCCGATCACTCTTTTGTCGTTGCATCGGTGGAGATCGGTGTTCTTCGGTTGAGCTCTTCGAAGGGCGCCTTTCGCCCATGTCAGGCGAGCGTTTCTTCCTTCTCTTGGAACCGTGGGTGGCTCCTAGGCCTGCTGCGGTTCCGAGAGCTGCGCCTGCGACACCTGCTGCTGCTGCTGCTGCCGCAGGGTCCATACCCTCGTCCTCTGGGAGGCCTCTTTCGCCTGCCGGTTCCGGGATTTCTTCATGAGTCTCCTCGGAAGCCGGTTCCTCGGCAGGAGGCGCTTCAACAGGTCCCTCATCGGCTGGCGCTGGCTGTTCAGCGGGGGCACGTTCTTCCATGACGTCAGTCTCTTTAGGAGCACGCTCTTCAGTGGGTGGACCAGCTGGAGCAGGGTCCTCAGCGGGCGCACGCTCTTCAATTTGAACTGACTGTTCTGCGGCAGCGGGTTCTTCGGCTGGGGCAGGTTCCTCGGCAGCAGGCTCGGCAGGGGCAACAACAGGCTCCTCAGCTGGAGTGGGTTCTTCGGCAGGAGCACGTTCCACGATGTCGACTGGCTCTTCGGCGGCGTTATATATGTGCTCTTCGGCGGAAGGTTCCTCAACAGAAGGCTCTTCTGCAGGAACCTCCCTAGTAGCAGAATCATCTCCCGGAGTAGGTTCCTCAGCAGCGGCAGGCTCCTCTACAGGAGCAGACTCGCTAACGGGCTCGGGTTCCTCGACAGCTGGTTCTTCAGCAACAGGTTCTTCAAGAACTGGAGCTGGCTCCTCAGGAGCAGCTTCAACAGGGATCTCCTTGGAAGCTTCTTGTTCTTCTGCAGGAGCTTCGGTATCTTCCGCAGCGGGCTCTTCGACATGCACAGAATCCTCAGGAGCAGGGGTCTCAGTCACCTGTTCAGCCGGAGGTTGAGGTTCCTCTGGCTTTTCTTCGACAGGAACAGGGTCTGCGGGTTCTTCGGGAGCAGGTGCTTCTTCAGGTTCAGGCTCATTGTCCTGAGCTGGTTCCTCCGGGGCAGCTTCCTCTGCAGCTGGCTCAGCAGCCGCTTCTTCCTCGGCTGGAATTTCTTTGGCAGACTCCTCTTCCGCGGGAGTCTCTTCGGCCGGTGCTGCTTCTGCAGCGGGTTCATCGGTGGTGGGCTCTTCGGCGGGCGTTTCTTCTGGCGCAGGCTCCTCTACAGGAGGGGTATCGGTAGGTGCATCTGCTTGAGCATCATCGGCAGCGGATGGCTCTTCGGTAGGCGTATCCTCGGCCAGCTTTTCTTCCGTCGGAGCCTCTTCTGGCGTCGCGTCTGCGGCTTCTGCCGGGGATTCCTGTTCGGCAGGTTGCTCTTCAGTGCTTTCGGCGGCGGGCTCTTCGGCGGCGTCTTTTTCAGTGTCGGCCTCTGCAGCAGCAGGCTCTTCGGCAGTGGGCTCTTCGGCAGTAGGCTCTTCGGCAGCAGGCTCTTCGGCAGCAGGCTCTTCGGCAGCAGGCTCTTCGGCAGGTTTATCTGAAGATTCTTCGACAACGGCGACATCTTCACTAGAAGGCTCTTCGGCTGCAGCTGGTGCGTCTGCTTCTTTGCTTGATTCTTCCTCCGCTTTCGGTTCGTCAGCTGGTGTCTCCTCGGAGGTAGCCTCGGCGGCGGCTTCAGGTTCGGGCGCTTTAGTGGCTTCGGGTTGAGCAAGCTCTTCCACTGGGGCGTCCGCCGTTTCCTTAGACTCTTTCGGGGCCTCTTCTTCAGCCTTGGCTGGCTCCTCTGGTTTAGCCTCCTCTTCTGTTGCTGTGGCTGGCTCTGCTGGTGGCTCTTCCTTGCTACCTTCATCTGCAGGCTCGTCGGAAGGCTTTTCTGTACCTTCCTCCGGTTTTTCCTCAGCATCGGGCTGGGCCTCTTCAGTGGTCGTAGGCGCCTCCTCAGCCGCTTCAGGTTCAGGCTTTGTTGCTTCCTTTTCTTGGTTTTCAGCGGCCGGTTCTTCCTGAGCCTCCGCTTGGGCTGGCTCTTCAGTCGCTCCTTCCTTCTCACCTGCGTCGGCATTGGCTTCCGGCTCGGCGGCGGTTGCCTCCTCTGCCTTTGGTTCCTCAATCGATGCCTCAGCGGGGCCCTCATCTTCCTTCGGTGTCTCCTCAAGAGGACTCGGGGTATCGTCACCCGCAGCAGGTGCAGCGTCGGCAGCTGGCTCTTTCGTCTCCTGATTCTCCTCGGCAGGAGCCTCTGACATCGTCTCCCCTTCTTCCTTAGCACCCTCGTCGAGATCAATCAGTTCTTTCCCAGCAGCTGCCCTCTCCTCGGCCTCGGCGTTGGCGTCTTCTTCGGCTTGCTTAGCGGCGGCTTCTTTCTCGGCTTCGACTTCGTCAAGGCCTGCAGTAGGATCACATTCTGGGAAGTCATCCTCTATGTGTAAGGTTAGCTGACTTTGGGAACTATTATTCTCCTCAAGCATACCATTCTGGGTGTCTATGCTTGTGTCTTCTTCTCCTTCCGTAGGGGGAGGAGTATCCGAGTTTGCTTCCTTAGTAGTAGGCGTACTCTCTGCCTCCTCGGGGGCTGCTTCTGCTGGGCTTTCTTCGGCAGCGGGGGATTCGGCGGCAGGTTCGGCGGGCGGTTCTACGGCCTCTGTGGATTCGGTAGGTTCTGTTGACTCGGCCGGCGTCTCGTCTTTCTTGTCTTCTTCGGGAGCGGCGTCCTCGGTCTCTGTCGTTGTGGTTGTCGGCTCGGGCTCGGGCTCTGTGTTCTCTGCTGCGGCGGGTGGCTCGGCTTCCTCTTTTGATTCTCCGGCCGTCTCGCTGGAAGAATCTACTGAATCAGGAGGTGTTGTTGCATCGGTTGAATCTACATGAGATGTTTAGTTACGATTACATGGTATCATGGGATGTACCAAGGTGAGAAGGGAGGGAGAGAGGGAGAGAGGGAGAGAGGGAGCGACGGTTGATTGATCATTAAGGGCAAGGAGCGTAGTGACTCCAGAAGGGGAAGGGGAAAAGAAAGGTTGAGTTCACATACCTCCAGCCTCAGGCGAGGATGACGAGGCATCAGTAGGAAAGTCCGAACCATCTTCTGTAGCTGGGGCAGGGTCAGGGACAGGGTCATCCTTGGGGGCTTCGGCGGCGGGGGAGGAGGCGTCAGTGGTGCCCTGGTCCTTATTGGGGGTCAGACCATCGGTAGATGTAGAATTGACAGGATAATATGAAAATTTAAGAGTATGAGGGTCGAAGGTCTGATAGTGACGCTCGATGGTCTGGTACTTAAACTTGGGGAGCTCTGCATACTGGATCGGCTGTGCCATTTTCAATAGATTCAACCGCCGTGTCCGGGGCTGGTTCGGTAGGGGTACTCTCTGTATTGGAATTGGGGTTGTCGTTTAGCGGTAATCGTTTATTGTTGTTGTTGGTATTGTTGTTCTTTTTGCTTCTTTTAGTATTCCCCTTTTTGGCCATGGCACCGATTCAGTTGAGCATGGGACTAATACAGATAATTCTTCTCGAGGGAGAGGAAGGAAGTAGAAGAGGAATATAAATCAATTGAGAGAACTATGGCAGCGGCCTGTCGGGGTCTAGACAGGGACAGGGGGAGTGAACAATGAGGCCAGGCAGAAAATAGGAGGCGACGGAACAGAATGGAATGTGAAACGAGATGAGATGTGAAGGGTCAGGTTCGAGTGATCGCTGTTGTATTAGAGGGTTGGGGGACACAACGATATGTCCGCCTCAGTGCGCCAGTGCGCCAACCGAATTGTGGTTCCTTTTTTTTCCATTTCTTTTTTTCCTTTTTCCCTTTTTTTTTTTTTTAACAAAAAAGAAAGGAAAAAAGATATATTAAAAAAAGGATGAATATTTTTTGTTCGAGGACCAACGCGAGGCGACGTATCGTAGACTGGCCACTACCCAGTGGGATGGGACAATATCGAGCTGCAGTTCGGGCTTAGACTGGCGAACGTCATTGACGAACGCCCAACGGCAAGGTATCTCATTGGACCACGTCTCACGGGTCCCAATATCCCTGGTGGACGGGAGAATGGAAAAAAAAAGGGGGGTCTCCGGGAAGCATCACCGGGGCAGTACTCCGGGAGGATGGCGGAAGACAGCAGCTTGCAGTAGCAAGCAGCGGCGGGCCCCGAGTGAGGAGACGGTACTCTCGATGAGGATAGGGAAACACCACAGAATCCAGATAAACTCCGTAAAAATTGGGTACAATCCGTCGTGTTAAGTGGGGGTGGTGCCACTGATCCGTCAGCGGTATTAGCCTGGGTTAATTTTTGTGATCGGGATTTTTGTTTGGTTGACGTCTTCCTATATTGTCTGTGGAAGTAGATCCTTCACCCCTGAGATACATAGATTAATTATCGACAGGATTCCAGAAGTACTGTACATCTCGTCTGGGTAGACAGGGAAGTTAGCCAACGCGTCACGGGCACAAAAATTCAGTGGTAGCTCGAGAAAAGTTGCATGATAGAGATGCAAGACCAATGGCCGAAACCAATCCAATCCCAATAATCCTGCCCATGTAGGACTGGCATTCTATTAATGGAAGGAGCCCGATGCCATCAATGAGGAGGGACCCGATGCAGCTGATGGCTGTGTTGATTATGCTGGGAGTGGTAGGCTCATTATCATGATGACCGAGTTAATCAATCGCCGATTTCTGCCCAACGCCTCTCGCGGACTGCGGCAGCAAATTGGATGCATGTTGCGTGGAGTTGAGACTGGGTCCCCGGTCCGAAAAACCAGGGAAGGATTGGCCGGGGAGAGGGAGAAAAGATGAGGCATTGGCCTGGGATTAGTAACTCGCACAAATCGGAAAATAATGATCAATCGGGATCGATCATTGATCAATCAAGGCAATCAAACACCCGTTCAGGGCGTCGAGAGAGGATGGAAAGATGGACCGGGAGGACTGAGCAGGAGGGGGAAGAAGCAAGAGAACGGGCAGTCCGAAGAGAGACTCGGCGCTGATCACTGGACCCCCCAACCGGGACTAGCGCCCACCCTTGGGCCTTTCTTTCTCTCGCCCTTCGCCAGCGACTCCATGCATTCCTCGCTTCCATTCTGTTCTCTACCAGTCGCTGCATCGCATCGTGTTCTCGATGGGAGCGAGAAATCCCATCTTCTCCCAACGGGAAATCAATCGTCACCCAGCCATCGCATTCTACGGAGACAGGGCCACTATTGAAACAATCATTGCAGAGTGGACTGACTAAACACGGACTGTCCCACTGAGGAAACAAAAAGTGAGGCGCAACGCTGTTCTGGCGCCCCGTGACTGGCTGCTCTTGCGCCCACTCCCTGGCCCATTGGGGGAGAATCTCCAAAGCCCTACACCTCTACTGGCCGAACGAGAGGAGTAACAGTGACAGGAATTGCTCCTAAACTAAACTAGATAGCCCCGAAGCAATCAGGTTCTTGGCTTACAGGAAAAGTACTCTAACAGACACCCACCCCAGACAAGCATGCTTTTATGCCCTCCACACAGAATTGATATTCCGATGTCGCCTCTCCCAGACAGATCCAAAAAAGTACAGCAATCGACAGAACTCCATTTCCCGACATAAGAATAACTACCATTCAGGATCAAACAACAAAGACGAAAAGGAGAAAAACTTCGCCTAACAATGGATCCTCCCTGGGTCCCTGACCCTTTTTTTTTTTCTCTGTGTTGTTGTTCGTCCGTCCACTTTCCACAGCATTGCCACTGTTTCCGTCGTTCAGGCGTTGATTTTCCTTGGGGTACGCATCTCCTACGTAAAATGCGCATTTCCAACCCACACTACTGCTGTACGTCCTGCAGGCAGGCAGAAACAACCACCATCTAGAAACATCCAACCCCGATCTATGAAAATTCAAGGACAGAATGGAAATCATCCCGGGCCCAATGGTCGGGGAGGTCGACTGTTACTCACACGGGCCCTCAAATGCAGCAGACCGAATCCAGATAAGATGACCGCTGACTGACCTGACCTGCTTTGCGTGCGTTTGTTTGATCTCACCATCCCATCGGCTCGTGATAATCAGGTTGCGTCTGGGAATAGTTACCTTCCACGGATGTCAAATTCGCTCAGCAGGTTTTAGCCGTCATGTTCCGGAATCCGGACAGATTGTCAGCGATTACCTGTCCCCTCCCGGTCCATGATTAGGTGCCTGCACATAGTCTAAATCATGTCAGAGATGATGATTTGTTGCCTCTCTTGCATAACCTTGGGGGGCCTCGTAGCCAAAAGAAGCAGGTGGATGTATTTTTGCCATTGATCTGAGGAGAGCAATGAGCTCAACCACCCAACATCTTACCCCTCAGTTCATGATCCTTGCTAGAATATTTTTCTTGTCCTTGGCATCGTTAGAATATCGATGCCCTCGTACTACGCCGTACAATTGACGATGCCTTCTGGCAACCAGGATTCTAGGTGCTGACGTTGAATTGTCGGCTGACTAGGACATGTCAAGGATGGCCGGTATCAGAAAGGTGCCTGTGCATCGTTCTGGATCGCATTGGCTCTAACAATAGACTCATATTGGGTATCCTCAAGCCGCTTCATCTCTCCAATCCTGGCATAACCACTCCAACCCAAAGCACATATGCACCACTCATTTACCCTAGACACGTCCGTTCAAGTTCTAGACTTTCCCAGAGGACCAGGGGCAAATGAGATGCGATCTGACAATGAAGTGGCCCAAATCATTATATACAGGATGGCCCGTGAACCAAGCCATTGTCATGAACAGTTACCGCCCAACGGAGCGAAGATGGCTGGCTGGAGTCGTTTTCTAAAGGCAGCTAACTCTGTGTCACCTTCCCCCCACTGTCTCCTAATTTCAGGCTTGAAAAAGACAGGTTCAATGGCTAAGCGCATCCATTGACTTTCTCCAGCGAGGCCCAAAGATCTTCATAGCGAAGAGAACGGAGCTGCTAGCAAAGGCCACCAACCCGAGGATGGTGAAAAGCCACCCGTTTCCGATTGCATCGATGATTGGGGCCGTAACCAGGGACCCAACACATGAGAAGATGTTCCGCATAAAATTGTTTAAAGCGACCCCTGCAGATGATTTCTTGGGCATAAATTCTGTTAACATCGTCGTTGCCATACTAAAAATAAGCATCGACCCAATGCCGAAAAAGAAGTTGGCAATCATCTACATCATGAAGTGTCAGATTTCGATTCTCACAAGCCTCCAAAGGTATAAAGATGAGAAAGACCTACCGGAGCAAGCCAAAATACTCCTCGATCCGCAGTCCATCCATACCAGATTAACGCCGCGGGATAAAGCAAAGCACCGAGCCACGCGTTCTCCCGCATTCGGTCTTCAGGATGATATATCAGTTTGCCATTCTCGTCGTATCTCTCCGCCTTTCGGGCCTCGCGTTGCATGATTTCATCCATCCATCGCCCGCCAAACGAACTCGCTACCATGTATCCCACAGAGTTTGGGAGGTAAAGCAGACCAACAATGATCGTAGCAAAATTATAGGGACTTCTTCCAAAGGTATGCTCAATACTCACGTTCAATACATAGAGCGAGCCAAATGTAATGCTTGCATAGTACACAGTCAGAAATACCGGCGGATATCGTAGATAGAGGACGATCTTGAGGGGGTCAATAAACACCATCTTGAGAATTCTTAGCCATTTGGTGGTAAACTGGACCACCTGCCGGGAAGACACTCGGCTCAGCTGGCGCCCGACAGCTTCTTGTTGCTCTTCATCCATGCTAGGGGCTTTCGACGTCACTAGGGTCTCAGGAAGAGCGAGAAATATGAAAATGACGGTGATTGCCCCGTATACGGCAAGGAACCATAAAGTGCTTCTCCAGCCCCATCGTTGAGCCAGTGCACCTCCAATAATTGGGGCCAATAGCGGACCGCATAGCGGGCCTAGGTAGAAGATACTCATGGCACGCCCCCGCTCGTGGGTGTCCCAAAGGTCTGCAATTGTGCCTGCACCGACTGCCTGAACAGAAGCCGATGCTCCGCCGCTCAACATTCGCATCACGATGAGCATAGCAATCGAGCTGGATACTGCGCAGAGGATATTGAACACAACAAAGAGGCAGAAGGAAACAAGGTATATTGTGCGCCGGCCCAGCCTCTCGCTGAATGATGACCACCAGAGTGGAAATATAGACATGCTCAGCATGTACAATGAAATGGAAAGATTTGCTATAGTGGTTGATGTGTTAAGTTCCTTGGATACCTGTGATAAAGATGCTAGTGATCGCGCAGCAGGTCAGCCTGATAAATCTTGTAGTGCAGTGTGTATGCATTTGTGGTCGAATGGGAAGGCGTGGAGAATGTCATGGAGACAGATTAGACCCATCAACTTACGGAAGAATATCGAACTGCCCATAGGTGCCGTCGCCCCGGCTACTGCGACGATGAAAGTAATGAACCATTTTGTCTTGCGCGCATAAGTCTTCGGGTTCTCGATTTCAGCGAGCAGCGTGAGCTGACCGAAAAGACCTCTACGTTTCAGTCGCGGCACCACCACCGGCTCCTTTTGTTCTGCCTCTGAGATGGGAGGTCTGTCTGCTTCCTCGTCTTTTTGTTCGATATCAAGAGGCGAATTCATGGGCGGCGATAGAGAATGAAAATTGGTGTCCGTATCATTCGTTGTCTCTTTGGACGGTATAGTCTCCTGGTAAGGGTCTTGGGGGAGATCTGCCGACGGCCTCGAGTCGGCGGTAATTTTCTTCTCCATGTTGGACACCATCACTCTTCGCAGGTATACGAAATTGAGATTCTGAAAAGCGGGTGAACAAATTGCGATTGCGCAATGGTGCGACTGTCGCACATCAAGGATCTTTTTGATCGGCTAGTTGTTGCATGCACCCAGTTAACTAAGAAGGTAGGATGGAATATCGATAGAGTCCAAGGTCGAGTTAATCGAGTTAACAATTTAAGATCATCAGAATGACAAAGACATTCGGATCCAGCACCGGTCTCTTGAAGTGGGGGCCAATATTAGTTATTGTCGATACAGAATGGCGTATACAGGATAGACAGATGCTCCGTGGTCATCTTCTTAACTCCAATCAAGCGAAATCAGATACAAGCGAATGTACTTCGTAGATTGAGAAGGGATAAAAAAATGGGAGTCAGGGAAGAAAGCGAAAGGCAGCAGTCGCTATGGTCGTTATCTAACGTCGGCACAAAAAAGGCAAGAGTAGATCTCCCCGCTCGCACGGCGGGTCCTTCCATGCCATCGGAACTGGACTCCTGAGTCGAGACTCGAGACCGACACCGATATCAACGTGGAGGATTCTAGATGGTAATTCTAGGTAGCCATGCATGCCTACCTGCCTGATAATAATCGACGTTTGAACTTTGATGCCATCAGAACGAGGGGAAACCCCCAGACACAAGGCATTGGAACGTGGTCCTGTCCATGAGTCCATCCGCGGGTGGAGTCGACGGCAAAGAGCAAAGAGCAAAGAGCAAAGAGCAAAGACCAACGAGAACGAGACGGCGTGCCGTTCCATCCGAGCTGCCAGTCACGGTGGTCGGGTGTCTCCGCCTCGGCTCCATTTGCCGAGGTCAAGCCTTTTTAATATCCTCAAGGAGTATCCATGAGAGAGGAAGTCATAGAAACATACGAATCAAAGGAAAGAGCGAGTTCAGACAGATCAGAATGATTCGATTGAACGTGTTGGAAACGACTCGGAAAGGTTTGTGTAGTTAGCCCATGTCCTGGTACCTGAATACCGGAATTTCACAAACTGCATCATCTACGGAGTAGATGTGGTCAGCCGATGCATTCAGATTTTTCGATGTATCTTGTCACGTCCACAGGTACCCATCAGTCCTGGTGTGGGGCAGTAAAATGTGAAATGACCTGGGATGCTATCCTGCCCCACGGATAGCATCAAAATCGCTCAAAACGGAAGGAATATGATAGCCGCGGTATCCTTGACGCCTCAAACGGAACATGTCACCGTTTGAGGACCCCAGACGAATTCCTATTTGTCTAAATTATGCCGCCGACTGACCAACACAATATTGTTTATGATGCAGGGTTCTTCCCAAATGCTACGTACACCAAGTACTGACACTTACTACACAGCTATCTGTAGTGCTACCCCAGATCCACAATATCACCCAATCGGGGAATTCGACGTCGGCATACGTCTCATGGGAGCATGCATACTAGGTGCACGTACAGAAAACCCAATGAATTTGCCAAGAAATGTCCAAGATTTCGGACATATCATATTGAGCTGCGAAGTCCAAACGCTCTACGTCCCCTTCTATATGCAAGGGCTACTACAGTACAGAGTACAGTCTCTGCAGATACCTCGTTTTTTCTACCAAACAAAGTCACCCTAGTCCGACAGACCATGGGATTCCCAAGCCTTTCAATCCCAGCCACGTAAATGAATAAAGGCGATGGATGCATATTTCATATGCCAGAGAAAATGCGCACTCGAAGCGGTGAAGCATTCCCTCGTCAAACTGACCTCGTTGCCCTGCAAATGAACCTGAGATCATATTCATCGTGCATCTATCCCAGTCAGAGTTACGTACCCTAGCTCACCGACCTCGATTGCGAGGATAGATCCAGTATTCCTATTTGCGGACCGAGAATCGATACCTGAAGTATAAAGCCCGTCAAGATGCTTGCTCATCTTCTGCGTCTATCACGCAATTCACCAGATTCCTGTCGTCTATATATATTAACATGGCTACCACCGCAAAGTTCTTCACCAATTTCCAGGGCGAGAAGTATATTGATGGTTGGGCGAACATCTGGAATCTAGGTGAGTTTCGGATCTGGGATAGGGAATACCCTAATCCTGCTCTGGAGGATACCTTGGCTCAGCGGCGCGAGATTCTCGGCGATCCGGTCGTAACGGATGCACAGGGGAATGAGTATCGGAAGAAAGCCTTGGTGCCAGGTTGCGGAAGAGGCATCGACGTGCTTCTGTTAGCTAGCTTCGGCTACGATGCATATGGACTGGAGTGCAGTGCGGTCGCAGTCGAGGCATGCAAACAGGAAGCGCTGAAAAATCGGAACCGATATCCTATTCAGGACCCGGTGGCTGGCCAGGGAACAGCAACCTTTGTGCAAGGCGATTTCTTCAAGGATGACTGGTTGGAAGAGTTCCAGTTATCGCGGAACTGTTTCGATTTGATTTACGACTATAGGGTGAGTGGTGATCAATCCAAGATGTTGATTGTCTTCGTATAACAACGTCTATCGCAAATGTCAAATGCTCGCTTGCGTTCGGGGGTGTTCCGAAAAACCGAAGGCCAGATCTCGGAGATGCAAGAACTCTTTTGATAACGCTTTTTGTGATTATAGTTTTTCTGCGCGCTGAATCCGTCAATGCGTCCAAGTTGGGCGCTCCGACACGCCCAGCTTCTCGCCCTCTCGTTGCGTGGTAATCTCATTTGTCTGGAGTATCCAAGGGACAAAGATCCTTTACTTCCCGGTTCACCTTGGGGGGCATCGTCAGAGGCGTATATGGGGCATCTGAGTCACCCCGGCGAAAAGATCCCATATGACGACCAAGGTCGATGCAAAATCGATGCGTTCCATAAGCCAAGTAAACAGGCCTTTGAACGAGTCGCATATTGGCAGCCCACCCGAACACACGACATTGGAATAGACGAGACAGGGAAGGTCCACGACCGAATTTCAGTATGGCGCCAGAAATGACAGCCATCAAGTCACCAGTTCATGGGACTCAGCGAAGGGTTTTCCGTCTTCGAAGACGCCCGCGTCCACATTGATCGACATCTCTAGTATGGACCGAACCATCTGGAGGATATTCCCATATCTAGGTCTTCTTTGCAAGGGCGTTATAATGTTCACCAAGCCCATATGTATGCCGATAATAAGCCAACCATATAACACGCTTGTTCTCCGCGTCCAAGCTGTCACCTGCTTCGATTTTTTCAATCCGTCCATCGCCTTGGATAACATTGATTTCCACGCCGTAGGCCCTCGAAATAGCTTGTAGTTCCAGCTGTCCTCCCCATTCTGCTGTCAGCTTGATTTTTCGGGTGTACTGATCCAACGGTTCCTCCATGAATGCCTCAAAATCATCCTTATGTTCAACAATGTAATCAGCCGTCACCGCTCGCACGGCTCTGTACCCATCATGCTTAGGAGAGGTCACTGTTTCGACTCGGGACTGCGTGGTAGGCTGGAGAACGATTCTCTTCGGGTCAGGCTTCAGGCCGAGTCCGGACTCTTCCAACTGGCTGGCGATTGCCGAGTATAGACAATGTCCATCCGGGTTGATTTCAATCTCCTTCAATCCTAACTGCTTGAAAACTCCATCCATGACCTCCTTCTCATTTCCGCGGTGGTCTGTTTGTTTCGCAGCCTCCTCCGCGGCTATTTCAGCTTGAGCGACTTGTTCCGCGGCGCGGCGAGCGAGTCGCGCCTTCTGGCGGTTCGGCTTCTTTTGGCGGGAGCCGGACGTTGGCTCCGAGGGAGGCGACGTGGTATCTGCAGGTTTTTCCGACGTCTGAGGGGGATGAGACTTGTCGGCATCCTCCGCATTTCCGTTTTCTCCATCTGTGTCATTAAGGTCCAGATTTTCGAGAGCGTCAACGGGTTCGGTCGGTTCGCCATTTAGCTGTGCAACTTCGGACTGGTGGCGCTCGAAAAGCTCTCTTTGTAGTCGGTCGCATTCATCGTTGATTCCTCGGCGGGTCTTCTTTGTGGCTGACTTTTTCTTCTGCGTGATTCGTGCCTGAAGATCTTTTTGTTCTTTGCGGTGCTTGGCCAACAGCTCGTCCATGATGGGAGGGGTAGGAGGATGTAGGGAAAACAACGGCGTGGGGAGGGGAAGAAATCTAAAATTTCGACAGGAGGAGATTCAAATAACGGACACACCTGCTGTATAGGCTTAAAAGTATGTACAATAAGGTAGTTGCGCTCAGCAGAGGGTTGATTCAGGAAAACAGAGAAGCCGCTGCTGCCCCGCAAAACCCTTTCCAGGCTGCCCTAAGGCCTAAGGTCCCGCGGGCTGAGTTCGGTGCCTTACAACGGTGGCAAGCCACGCCTCGATTGCCAGGTACCCGGCACGGAGCAATGTTGTTCCACAGCCTCGGTATCTTTCGAGCCTTCTCGGTCGTCGGATATGCCAGCCTAGGCCACGCTCCATGCTCCCCGTATATGAATCCAGCGACTTCCACTCACTCCGCGTGGTTGACATGTCACATTAGATCCACCATCAACTACTCCATATTCTTGAATTATATAATCGTGTGTGCATAGTGTATTGCTTGTAATTACTTTCCTACTTTCATCATCATGAACTCCCAGAACCTTTTCGATGTCAAGGTCAGTACAACTCCGCACAAACGGGGCTTCCGGAATCACCATCGATTCTAACGACCAGCCCAGGGCAAAGTGGTGCTGGTCACCGGCGGAGCCAAAGGCATTGGTCGAATGATCTCTGAGGGATTTGTCGCGAACGGCGCTACGGTCTATATCTCGTCGCGGGATGCCAAGGCCTGTGAAGCCGCGGTAAATGAGCTCAACGCTCTGGGAAAGGGCAAGGCCCATTCCATCCCCGCCAACTTCTACAAAGAGGAAGATGTCAAGAAACTGGCCGAGGAGCTTGGCAAGCGTGAAAGCAGTAAGTCAAGTTTCTCCGCTCGAGGGTGGTAGCTCTACAGTCTAACCTTCGACTTCCAACTAGAGCTCCATGTTCTGGTCAACAACTCCGGATCGAACTGGGGTGCTCCTTATGATGAATACCCCTCGTCTGCCTGGTCTAGGGTTCTTACTCTCAACCTGCATCGGGTTTTCGATCTGACGCAGCTTGTCACCCCCCTGCTGGAGAAGGCTGCCTCGGCAGGCGACCCGGCTCGCATTATCAACATCGGCAGTATCGATGGACTTCGCGTCCCAGCTCTTGAGACATTTGCCTACAGCGCTAGTAAAGCTGGCTTGCATCACCTGAGCCGCGTTCTCGCAAACCACCTTGGCAAACGGAACATCACGTATGTGTCGCCCTTACCCTTGTTTTTATGATGACAGACAGGCTAAGACAGTACATGGGTAGATCAAACGCGTTGGCTTGCGGACCATTTGAGAGTAAAATGATGGCTGCTACTCTAGAATCCTACCGGGAAACGATCGAGGCAGGGATTCCGCTGGGTCGTATCGGGACCCCTGAGGATGTCGCGGGTGCTTGTCTATTCTTGAGTAGCCGGGCTGGGTCGTACGTCAACGGTGCCACCATCACTCTTGATGGCGGAAGTGCGATCGCCGCCAAGCTCTGAGCGACGATAGCTGTATAGAGATCCTGCAAAAGTCCCTCACACTCTTCGTGTTGATCTACCTTGCTTCCTCCTTATTCCGGAAAGTATAACCTTCGTATGGGTCCCATGACCCCTGCTGTAGAACCATGCATCATGCAGCTCTAAAGGCTAGACTCGAGCTTGCACTGCAAATATCATTCTTGAATGCCATGGTATTGTCTTATCCAGATGACTTAAAGTTTGCGGCAACGGGGCTGTACAGTCACGCTCTAGACGCCACGAAGGCCAGCCTTTGCCAAGTAGATCGCCAAGTTCCAAAGGCGACACATGTGCACTGAACTAAGGAATGCAGAAGAGGAGAAAAGAAGATAAGAATGTCGAATAAAACAAAGTAATGCGATAAAACAAGACCGCTAATATCCACAAGTGAGAACACGCGGTTGACGTTGGCCGGTTAGAGTTCGCGGATCTGTCCAAGCCACAATGCCGCTGTGACGCCAGAGTCATTGGACTGGATAATTCCCTCCTACAACTTCCTCGATGAGCTTCACTCAGCGATCTTATATTGTTATCATGGCACTACCATAGGCACACCTACACTGTCTTCCCTGTTACTATCAGTAGTTCACTCACCCGGTGTCTTTATCAAGTCTGGATACGTCTTCCGGAGGCAGCTTTAATATTCTCTATGCCTGTTCGAGCCTTCAGCTTTCTTTATTGCATTTTGAATCAACGGGATCGAATTTCCTTCACAGAGCGCCTGGGACGGCGAAGTATGTGGAAGCCTCGGACAAACTTTATCACCTTGCATTGTGCGTCGCGAACCAGTCGAGGTTATATGAAATGCGTTGACAAACGAAGGCAGATGCATATATCCTCTTCCTCAGTATCTTGGGTGTGATCGTTCTCTATCCATATGGCAACTTAAGTGCAATCGATGCCTACTTCTTTGGGGCCAGCGCTGCGACAGAGTCTGGCCTAAACCCGTCCGTTCATTAGCCTTATCTTTCCTTCAATTCGTACATTACTGAGTCGGGCCTTCTAGTGTCAATGTCAATAATCTCAAGACCTACCAGCAACTGTTCATCTATTTTGTTCCCATGGTGTCGAACTTATGTTTTGTCAACATTCTGGTTGTCGTTGTGCGGCTGTACTGGTTCGAAAAGCGCTTGAAAAAGATAGGTACGGTTGTCGCTGACTGTTGAGGATTTGAACAACTGCTTACTAGCCTGACAGGACCATCTATTCTGTATCCCAGATCAAGCTCGGCAGGCCACCCAGGTCATCCTCATGATGCAGAAGTTCAGTTGCACAAAGCCGAAGAAGGTCAAATATCAGGACCAGAGTCTGCCCAAACATTCCAGGATACATCATGTGGAACTCAAAGTTCGAAGGAGGAATCGAAGAACACGATTGCGAATGCGTCAGTTGCTTGTGCATGCCGCATTACGGTAACTGAAGATTAACTAACTCTTTTACAGAGCCAACAGCTCAGGCTTGAACCAAGCCAATCCTTCTAGTCAGGATCCTACTCCTCAAATCAGTCGAAGAATATCCTTTGCAGACAGTTCAAAGGCTTTATATATCCCATCACCTCGCGAGAGAGATAGAGGTAGTTAGAACTATTCCGAGAATACCTTGGCTCAGGCTCACGCAATAACAGGAATTCCAATACTGGAAGTGGACGGGCCATCACATGAGAGTAAGCAGGTTTATCCGTGACTTGCGATGAGAAAGTAGAGAAATAACCACTCGGCAACTGCAAAAAATCAGATGGTGCAGAATCAACCGAGAGAGAAGAGCCAGATACTAAAGACGGTCGTCGTCTGCGCGATGCTATTTCCAGTAGCATACCTCTTGAACATGTTGCCTCTTCGGTCTTTGTGCTTGGAAAGCAGTCCAAAACATCCAACGAGCCACGCCTTCAGAGTACGATTTCACTTTCCAAAGACTCCAACATTCCAGGTCTCTCGTCACAGGCTACACTCGGCAGGAACTCGCAGTTTTACAACTTGACGGACGAGGATCGGGCACAACTGGGTGGCATTGAATATCGCAGCCTCAAAATCCTGTTGAAGATTGTGATCGGTACCGAGCCCTCTCCCGTTTTATGCTAATGGGATCTGACGAGCGGCAGGTTATTTCTTTGGGCTTCATATATTTGGGGCAATTTGCTTAGTTGGCTGGATTCAATATGCAAACCCAAAGTATAGGAGCTACCTCGCGGAATGTGGACAAAACCATATCTGGTGGTCAGTAATGTCCCTAATCTGAGGTTGTCAACATTATCATCTAGATTTACATGATGTGTCTAGGGCTTTCTACTCGGCGCAAACGATGGTCGATAATCTGGGGCTTACACTCACCCCGGATTCCATGATCTCCTTCCAAGCTGCGACCTTTCCCATGATAGTAATGAGCTTCCTCGCATACGCCGGTAACACCATCTACCCCTGTCTCCTCCGTCTCGTCATCTGGACGTTATTCAAATGCGTTCCGCAGCAGTCGTCACTCAAGGAACCGCTTGCTTTCCTCTTGAATTACCCTCGTCGGTGTTACACGCTCCTCTTCCGGAGTAAACCTACCTGGATTCTTTTCGGGATTGTCTTTGTCCTCAATTTTGTCGATGTTCTTTTGATTATCGTGTTGGATCTCCACAATCCCGCCGTGAATAACCTTCCTATCGGCCCACGGATTCTAGCGGCCATCTTTCAGGCAGCGTCGGCGCGACACACAGGCACATCTACATTCAACCTGGCCAAGGTCAATCCCGCCGTTCAGTTTAGCCTCCTAGTCATGATGTACATTGCCATATTCCCGATCGCCATCAGCATTCGCGCATCGAACACCTATGAGGAGAGTGCACTCGGCTTGTATTCAAGGGAACAAGAGATTGATGAAAACGACGGCACAAATTACGTGCTGGCCCATGTGCGGAACCAACTCAGTTTCGACTTGTGGTACATATTCCTCGGAATATTCTGCATCTGCATTGCCGAGGCCAACAGAATTATGGATCCAGCTGAAGCGGTGCGTCAATCTTCTTCATCGGAGTTTTGAACCTGGAAGCTAATGTGTCCCAGCAATCTTTTTCCGTGTTTGCAGTGTTTTTCGAAGTTGTTTCGGCGTAGTAAGTTTCTCTCCCTCTTCCAAACCGAAGCATCGGCATGAGGATCTTGATGTCTTCTAGTGGCAATGTCGGTCTCAGCCTAGGGTATCCTACGGTCGCAACCTCGTTGAGCGGACAGTTCTCGACCTTCAGCAAAGTTGTTATCTGTGCGATGATGATCCGAGGGCGACACCGCGGTCTCCCTTACTCGCTCGACCGGGCGATTCTACTTCCCAATGACCGCCTGGTTGCGGATCATAACGATGAATCTCGGCCTGATGCTCGACCGTATGTCAACAACCGTAGTGGTCTGGGTTTGAATGACAGCGGACAGATGAAGTTCAGACGGTCCTATACCAAATAGAATCTTCTAGCGAGTTCGTTGTATAGATTTCCTTCCTCTCCCAGTACACTTTGCTTCCACGGAGTTAGTCTACATACGTACTAGTATCTGGCATTGTTCAGGAATGCTTAGAGCAGACGAATCCCCGGTAAACGTGATATCCAGGAACAAGGGGACCGACAAAGAAACCAGACGCCTCTAGCACAACATCCCGATCGCAGGATAACTGATCGAACAGGTCACGCAGCAGACGCAACAAAGAGTGGTCCACCGGACAATCCAATCAAGTTGACATCGTGGCGAAGTGGAGTTTTGTGGAGCGGCGACATCATTGCTTCCAATGCCGTCATGGCATCCCACTTCTGGTCTTTAAGCCTTTTTGGATCCCTCTTGTAGCTCTCTTTGTTCTCGAATCTTTGCACCTTTGTTTTGTCTCACCATCTACCTACCGTACCTTAATCTCGATAGGCATAGACTCAAGTCACCTGCAGACCGCCTCCGAGCTGGCCGGTGTGAGCTCAACCAATCCCGCAGCCGCCATTCCGCCCACCGATCTTCCTTACACAGAGAGGCGCCACCAAAGCATCTTGACGTGGCCATTGGTCTCGCTTCGTTTGTTTTCCTTTGCCAGCCCATCCTTGCTTTGTCCCATATCCTGTTCGGGGTACTTCATCCCGGCCTTGAAATTTTTATTGTGCTCGTATCGTTCCCCAATCTCTTTCCTTTCTTCTCCCCACTCCCAAATCGCCCTGGACGACAATGAGCTCGCCAAATGCTCAACCGCACGGTCGGACGGGCTCTATCGATCCTTTTTCCCATCCAGACGTCTACTACGGGGATGACGAGGCTATCGCCCGCATCAAAAACCGCAGACGTGCTTATTCCTCGGTGGGTAGCGAGTCTGACGAGATCAAGCTGAGAACGAGGATGGTTTGATGCTGACTGAGGCTCCAGTCCTTGAAAACTTTCAACCGAGAGGATATCCAGGATTTCCTGGGTGGACAAACGGCGAGAAGAGGGAGCCACGGTACGTACGGTCCTAATTTCCGTTCTTGATTCAATCGATGGGAATGGAAAGCTGACACGGGTCACATGGACAATAGATGCATCATCGGCTCAGCCTCGCAAGTTCCTAATCGATGTTGAAGAGACATTGCACAGTCTCCTGGAGAGGGAGGATACCGACAAGAACATGCAGATCACCATCGAGGATGTCGGCCCGAAGGTATGTGGCACGTCGATCGGCCTACCTGACCAACTGCTGAAGTATGCATGTGTACATTAGGTGCTTTCCGTCGGAACGGCCGCATCCTCCGGATACAACAGGTTCGACTTACGAGGAACGTATATGCTCTCCAACCTTCTCCAGGAGCTTACGATTGCCAAGGATTATGGCAGAAAAGTAGTCGTGCTGGACGAGGCCCGTCTCAGCGAGAATCCTGTCTCGCGTCTCGAGCGTTTGGTCAAGAACAACTTCTGGTCTGCCCTTACTCGATCGATTGACGGTCACAATATCGCCCAGGTCGGAAAAGACCCTAAAGATTGGACCGAGAATCCCACGCCACGCATCTATGTCCCGCCTGGTGCGCCCGAACAGTTCGAATACTACTCGAATATTGCGAAATCACACCCCGAGCTTCGTCTGGAGGTGATCATGTTGGAGGAGAATATCACGCCGGACTATGTAAAGGATCTCAACCACAAGCCCGGCCTGCTGGCATTGGCGATGGACGAGAAGTACGACCCCAACACCCAGAAGACAGAATTCAAGGGCGTGCCGTTCGTGGTCCCCGGAGGTCGATTCAATGAGCTCTATGGATGGGACAGTTACATGGTATCTCTCGGCTTGAATGTCAGTGACCGGGTTGACTTGGCTAAAGCCATGGTGGTCAACTTCTGTTTCTGCATCAAACATTACGGCAAGATTCTCAATGCCAACCGAACCTACTACTTGACGCGGTCTCAACCTCCTTTCCTGACCGACATGGCTTTGCGTGTCTATGAGCTCATCAAGACTGAGCCGGATGCTCTCGACTTCCTCCGAAACGCTATCCTGGCTGCCATCAAGGAATACTACAGCGTCTGGGCCGTAGAGCCCCGTCTAGACCCGGTTTCGGGCCTCTCCCGATACCGTCCAGAAGGATGGGGAGTCCCCCCCGAGACGGAACCCTCGCATTTCACACATATCCTAACTCCCTATGCTGAAAAGCATGGTATGTCATTCAAAGAGTTCGTCAACGCCTACAATGACCGCAAGATCGTCGAGCCCGAGCTCGACGAGTACTTCATGCACGATCGGGCCGTTCGCGAGTCAGGCCACGACACAAGTTACCGACTTGAGAAAGTCTGTGCCAACTTGGCCACTGTGGATCTGAACTCGCTCCTCTATAAATACGAAGTTGACATTGCTCGGGCGATCCGAACCTACTTCAACGATCGGCTGGAGATTCCCCGGGAGTTCCGCACCCCGGCGAGCAAGGATTTCACCAGCGAGGCCTCCTCGGTGTGGGATCGCCGCGCCCGGAGAAGAAAGCAGAGAATGGACACCTTCATGTGGGACGAAGAAAAAGGCATGTTCTTCGATTACGACACGGTGAAGAAAGAGCGGTCCACCTACGAGAGCTCCACCACCTTCTGGGCCATGTGGGCGGGACTTGCCACGCCCTTGCAGGCGACCCAGTTGGTGAAGCGGGCCCTCCCCAGGCTGGAAGCCTACGGCGGGCTTGCCTGCGGTACGGAAGAGTCGCGAGGAGCCGTCAGCCTGGAGCGTCCCAACCGACAGTGGGATTACCCGTACGGCTGGGCGCCGCAGCAGATGCTCGCGTGGAGCGGACTGCTGCGCTACGGCTACGAGGAAGATGCGCAGCGGCTGGCCTACAAATGGCTGTATATGATCACCAAGGCGTTTGTTGATTTCAACGGAGTCGTCGTTGAGAAGTACGATGTCACTCGCCCCATCGATCCGCACCGGGTAGACGCCGAGTACGGAAACCAGGGCGTGGACTTTAAGGGTGCACCTCGAGAAGGGTAAGTCTATCTTATCTATTGAGATCTGAATCCGTTTCAGGGTTTATGCTAACTACCTCATCCAGATTCGGCTGGGTCAACGCCAGCTACGTGTACGGACTGGACTTCCTCAACGCGCACGAGCGACGTGCGCTCGGAACCATCACGCCCTACGAAACATACAGTAAAGCATTGGCGGCACAGGGACTTTAAGCATCCCAGTTCTGGGATTTGATTTTTGACGAAGATGATGAAAACTAAAAGAGCACGTTTTGATTGATTTTTGCTCTTATTTTTAATCTTAGGTTCTGCTTATAGGATGAGTAAATAGAAACCGTAGTTCTTACATCTAACTTATGATGGAAACGAAATGCTACGAAACGATACATTGGATGCCAAAGGGGGGGGGGGAGAAGATTTCATGTCGTCTATTTTAGTTGATTGTCTTTGCGTTATGATTGAGACAAATGAATAAATTGGATAGATGGTTTTCGTATCTCCCTGCTTGGTGTCTGTGGGTTGTTACTTCTTTCTGTAGAAGTCCTGGAGTTTTGTCTCTCTTGGCATAAGTTCGAGTCATGACTAGTGGCAAAGCACCCGTTCTGGATACATTCCGACGAGCGTTCAGCCGATGCACCTCTGCATGCAAGTTGCCTTACGGTGCACAGCCGGATAGTCCTTCTACCGCACCTAGCCGAGTCAGAACAGTAGAATAGATATTATTGAATGAGAATATACACCCAATATAGTTACAGATCACGCACATGACGCCCTCAGGCATTCCACACGGCGTAAGTACTAGCGATTCAATATACTATTTGCATGTGAATCCCACTAGATATTACTACAGAGCCAGCTCACACACCCCGATTACGGAGGAAGTATACCTACCTAACCAACTACCCTACCTACAGAATATACCGCACCTACAACTCCATATAATCTTACCTATCATGCCGCCATGAAAGTCACCATTCACCACTCACCAATCATCGCCATTTCATCCCAGTTCAAGGCAGCCAGGATCACCATTTACCCCCCAGCGATCCGAGCGCAATTCGGGCAACTTCCGAAACACACGACACACGGCCTGCACGGGGATGTAGGGGGATGAGGCCTCATCCCTGGGGCATCAGGGCGGGCGGAGGGCTCCTTGTTTTCCCGAGGCCGGGAGGTTCTCGTGGATGGAATCTGGAGGATCGACTCGGGACGCGTGATTGGTCCTGGTTGAGCCGAGGTTCATGCTTGCTTTGGTTTGGCGTCCTTCAGGTCGGAGGAAGTGGTAGTGCGGTATTGCGGGTATTGCGGGGAGATAGATACCTGCTCAGAATAGAGTGACTGAATGAAGATTGATGATTGAAGAATGGTGTATGAGGGGAAATGGGCCAAGGGGGTGGTGCATTCTTGGGTAGTATTGGATACTTGACATTCAACTGTATGGTCTAGATATCTTCCTCAGGCATCCCGGGCTAATACGGGGATACGGGGTCGTGACAGGCTGACTCATTCTTCTGGGCGGAGAAGAGGTCATCCCTCCCGCTGCGTACCGTCACGTCTTGTCACATGTCTCGACGTCATGCATTTTACACCTTTGGCCTGGCCATGAACCTGTCGATTGCCTTCATCATCGGAATCAGATCAATTCCCCAGAGAAGGTCAAAATGAAGAGCTACTGATTCAACTCCATCAGATTCGAAATCGCCATGCCTCAATCCACTATCCATGTACAATGGAGATGCAGGTGGGCTGCAGTATGGCAGAAGTGGCAATGGTCCATTAGACCGAGGATCTACTTCTCGTTCCATTTCCTCTCTTCCGAACACGCTCACGCCCTATCGGAATCTGGCTTGTGAATCTTTGGCTCACGGTTAACCTAATGCTGGCCACTCCGTCCCATTTGGTAAGGGCCTGGGTCAACTTCCCCCGGTTGACGATATGCCGGTCCATCCAGGCTCCCTTCTTGTCCCGCTGAGCCGAGCGTTTACCGACTGGCTCGCGGGCTGTGACGCATTCGCGATGCTTGAATAAGTACCTTGGTCTTTGGCTTGTGATCGTGTCCTTGGGTTGGCTCTGACTTTTTTTTTTTCTTAAACGTGAAATCATCTGTTCTTACCCTTCTCTCTTTCTCTTTCTCGTTTCCTCTCCGCTCCTCTCTATACTCCTTTTCTTCCAATATCCCCCATTTTATAACCTATTGAGGGGTTTAGACTTCAAAGCTTACCTTTTGGGCTGTATATTACCATTCCGTTTGACTTTTTCATCTCACAATGGGTCTCTTCGAGGACGAGGATCAGGCGTACTTGAACGACGTCCAGGCCGTCAAGACCTGGTGGAATGACTCGCGATGGCGCTACACCAAGCGTCCCTATACCGCCGAGTCGATTGTCGCCAAGCGTGGGAACCTCAAGATCGACTATCCCTCCAATGCTCTGAGTAAAAAGCTGTGGAAGATCCTGGAGAGCAACTTTGAGGTTCGTGGCTCTTATCCCGGAGACCTGCAAACGGTTGTATACTAATTGATCGTGTTTCTAGAACAAAGCTCCGAGTTTCACCTATGGCTGTCTCGAGCCTACCATGATCACCCAGATGGCCAAATACCTCGACACGATCTACGTCTCCGGCTGGCAGAGCTCGTCCACCGCTTCGTCCACCGATGAGCCCTCGCCGGATCTGGCTGATTACCCGATGGTAAGATAGTCCCTCGTGGCGGGGCAGGAAAGAGTTAGTCGGGCTAACATTCCTACCAGAACACTGTCCCCAACAAGGTCAACCAGCTCTTCATGGCGCAGCTGTTCCATGATCGGAAGCAACGCGAGGAGCGTGTGACCACTCCTAAGGAGAAGCGTGCCAACGTGGCGAATGTGGACTACCTGCGTCCCATAATTGCGGACGCCGATACCGGTCACGGTGGCTTGACGGCGGTCATGAAGTTGACCAAGCTCTTCGTGGAGCGTGGAGCTGCTGGTATCCATATTGAGGACCAGGCTCCCGGTACCAAGAAGTGCGGCCATATGGCCGGAAAGGTCCTCGTGCCTATCAGCGAGCACATCAACCGTCTGGTGGCCATCCGTGCGCAGGCCGACATCATGGGTAGGTGCCATCTTGCGTTCTTGTCAATCCGATCGGGAAGTACGAGACTGACTGCTCCCCTCAGGTACCGACTTGTTGGCCATTGCCCGAACTGACTCCGAGGCTGCCACCCTCATCACCTCCACCATTGATCACCGCGATCACGCTTTCGTCATCGGATCGACCAACCCTAACCTGCAGCCGCTGAACGACCTCATGGTGGCTGCCGAGCAGGCCGGCAAGAACGGCGAGGAACTCCAAGCCATCGAGGACCAGTGGGTGGCCCAGGCCGGTCTCAAGCTCTTCGACGAAGCCGTGCTTGACTCCATCGAGAAGGGCGTGCACCCCAACAAGAAGGCCCTGGCCAACGACTACCTGAAGGCCGTCAAGGGCAAGAGCAACAGCGAGGCTCGCGCCATCGCCAAGGGCATCACGGGTGTGGACATTCACTGGGACTGGGACGCTCCTCGTACCCGCGAGGGCTACTACCGGTACCAGGGCGGCACGCAATGCGCCGTCAACCGTGCCATCGCCTACGGCCCCTTCGCCGATCTGATCTGGATGGAGAGCAAGCTTCCCGATTACAACCAGGCCAAGGAGTTTGCCGACGGCGTTCACGCCGTCTGGCCCGAGCAGAAGTGAGTCTCACTATTTTGTCGCCCCTCTCATCGCCAGAAAACTAACGACGACATTCTCTAGGCTTGCGTACAACCTGTCGCCCTCGTTCAACTGGAAGAAGGCCATGCCTCGCGACGAGCAGGAGACGTACATCAAGCGCCTGGGTGCTCTCGGATACTGCTGGCAGTTCATCACCCTGGCGGGTCTTCACACGACGGCGCTGATCTCGCATAAGTTCGCCAAGGCCTACTCGCAGCACGGCATGCGCGCGTACGGCGAGCTGGTGCAAGAGCCCGAGATGGAAGAGGGTGTGGACGTGGTGACACACCAGAAATGGAGCGGAGCCAACTACGTGGACAACATGCTCAAGATGGTGACGGGTGGCGTTAGCAGCACCGCGGCCATGGGCAAGGGGGTGACCGAGGATCAGTTCAAGCACTGAGTGCGTGGAAAAGTGCTGGTAAATTGATTTGAAATGTTTGGATGATTTTGATTTGTTTTGGTTATGTTTTTTTGAACACGAGTACCCCGACAGATTTTTTTGGAGAAGCCGTACTGTACTGTAGATTGGCATCGGTGATCCTTGAGTTTATTTTAGGTCTAAGAGTCCTATTTAGCATAGTGAATATTGAATATTCTGAAATCAGAAATCCGTGTCATCGTCCATGAACTACTCCGCACTGAGTTAATCCTCCGGAGCCGTGGGTAACCCAGAATCCGAAAGCACGAGCTAAACTCGATAAGTATTAAACTAACTGCTGCTAGTTCAACTCGGGCCCGACAAATGGAGAACAGCTTGCGAGCAACCGTCGATCCACCGACCAAACCAGGCGCTGATCCCCGTCGAGGAAATGAGAAATGGCGACTACCGAGGGTGAAACGGGGCATGCCAGAGTCTGATTAGCTGCAGACCAGCAATCTCGAGTCTCCGGCTGGTCTGATGAACCTAATAATAATCAGAATATCCAGAATGGTTCGGTTCGTATTAGGAGCGAGCGTAACGGAGGAAATGTTGAGAATACCGCGGTCCAGCGACGCCTCCGATGAGGGGAACCGCAAGAAGGGCGAGGGCATGTGCACTGGGAAGCTCAAGTCCGAGTGCCTTATTAACTCGGGATCCTCGTTCGGGGCTCACTCTGTCTTGATTTAATTTGCTCTGAGTCTTGGAACTGCCCTTTCGAGTAGTTTCTAGAGACCGTTTGAGTTGCGACTTCCTGAGGGTTTGCCGCGCACCTGATCAAGTGATCGTTTCTTTCCCCTCCTTCCTCTCTCCTTTTCTTTTCGCCCTCTGTCTGTCTATCTCTCCTCCTCCAAATTATCTTCATTCGCAATTTGGTCGCCCGTCATGGTGAAGTCCGATATTCCCGAGCTCGAGCTCACTCCCCTTGCGGAGATCCAGAACCGCAGCTCGCTTCTCCGCAAAACCTTCCTCGAGCACAAGACCCGCGATGTCGAGTTCCGACTGGTCCAGCTGCGCAAGCTCTACTGGGCGTAAGTTACTCAATTTTTTTTTTTCTCAGTCGGACAATTTCAATGCGGGCTACAGTCCCACTGACACGATTGGTGCTGATTTCTCTTTCCCCCTCCGCAGTTTGAAAGACCACGAGGAGGAAATTGCCGACGCCCTGGCCCTGGACCTGAACAAGCCGCGCTTCGAGACCGAGCTCGCCGAGAACGGATGGTTGCAGAATGACATCGTCTTCGTGACGCGCAATCTACACAAATGGGTGAAGGATGAAAAGGCCGAGGACATTGATCTGACGTTCAAGTTTATGAGCCCGAAGATTCGCAAGGACCCGCTGGGTGTGGTGCTGGTGATCGGGTATGTTTGAGCTCTCCCCGGCTTCGGCTTGGCCCCTCTCCGCGGAAACTAATACAGGATGTTCGGAACAGCGCATTCAACTATCCCTTCCAACTGACGCTCGGTCCGGTGATCGGTGCCATCGCCGCCGGTAATACGGTGGTCATCAAGCCCAGCGAAAATGCCCCGAAAAGCGCCGTCGTGATGCAGCGCGTCATCGAAGCGTCCCTCGACCCCTCCTGCTACACCATCATCCAGGGCGGCATCCCTGAAACCCAGGCCCTGCTGGCGGAGCGGTGGGATAAGATCTTCTTCACGGGTGGCGCCAACGTCGGCCGCATCATCGCCAAAGCGGCTGCTCCTCACTTGACTCCGGTCGTGCTGGAGCTGGGCGGTATCAACCCGGCCATTATCACCAAGAACGCCAACCCTAGACTCGTCGCGCGGAGAATGCTATGGGGCAAGCTGCTTAATGCGGGGCAGGTGTGTACGTCGCAGAACTACCTGCTAGTTGACAAGGCCATTGTGCCTGCAGTCGTCGAGGAGTTCAAGAAAGCCTACAAGGAATTCTATCCCCAGGGGGCCAAGGCGTCCCCGGACTATTCCCGCATCATTAACGCGGGTGCATTCCAGCGTCTCAAGGGAATGATCGATAACTCCAAGGGCAAGATCCTCCTGGGTGGCACCATGGATGAGGAGGAGCTGTTTATCGAACCGACTCTGGTTCAGGTGGACTCGACGGACGATTCGTTGCTCACACAGGAGAGTTTCGGTCCGTTGATTCCTATTCTCCCCGTGGAGAACCTTGACGAAGCCATCAACATCGCCAATGGTATCCAGAGCACGCCGCTCGGCATCTATCCGTTTGGCTCGAAGGCCGAAACCGAGAAGAGTACGCTCCCTCTGCCCTGCTGTTCCCGGAACAGGGAAATCCACGTGTCCGGCAACTAACATTTCTATAGTTCTCCGATCGACTCGCTCAGGCGGAGTTTCCGTCAACGACGCTGCACTGCACATCCCCACCCTCCCCTTCGGCGGTGTCGGCGAAAGTGGCTACGGCGCCTACCGTGGAAGATCCAGCTTCGATGTCTTCGTGCACCGTCGTCCCATCACCACCAGCCCCGGCTGGATCGAGTCCATGCTCTCGATCCGCTACCCGCCTTACGCTGGCAAGATCAGCACGCTCAAGGCTGCCAGCACGCTGGCCCCTGACTTCGACCGCAGCGGAAAGAAGGTCACTCTCGGCTGGTTGCGCTATATTCTTACCCTTGGCGGAGGCAGCGCGAAGGCTGGGGCTGGCAGAGCTGCAATTGTTGCTGCGAGTAAGTGATTTTCTTCTCTTTCGTTCCTGGCTCGTAACCCCATTCCTTAATATCCCGATTCTTGTGCCCTATTTTGTTTGACGGATGGGGATTGAATCGGGAGAACTTAACCTAATCACCTCTTATCACATCTGCACGACGTCTACTTGATGATTGTTCTCTTTCATTCCAAATACCCCCTTTTTTTCCTTTTTTTTTTTTTTTTCTATGCCTAATTCTTACCCCCATCCCTTATTGGATTCTGTTCTGCTTTACACAATAATGTAACTGTACATTATCAATCTACCTCGCAAACCCAATTCTTCCTTCCTTTTCCCCCTTAAAAACCTTCAATTCTCTTCCAATAGACTTTCCTGCATAAGCATGGGGGAAAAAAAGAAAAGAAATACTTACTAATTTCCTCTCTTAGTTGCCTACGTCGTCATGCAGGTTCTCGAGCGCCGAACATCCAAACTTTAAGGTTTGCCTTTTACTTAAAATGGAAAAAGACTCAAATTTAGGCGGATTAGGTTGTTTTAGTCAATTCTATCTTTGGGGAGGGGCTTTATTTGTGTGGTGGTTGATGTCTTTCTTACCTACCTAGGTGGGTGCCCTGGGTAGGTAGCTTGCATATGCTTGTATGCTTGTATTTTATGTTTAGTGTGCGAATATAGCGGGATTTTATCTGTTCTGGTCTGTTCTGTTCACTCTTGGGGTAGGTATGTATCTAGGAGGTAGTTCTTTGGGTGTTGGAGATAATAGGTAAATTAGATTGTAAGGTGTCTGGTTACCTTAGATAGTAGGTATGAGGAAATGCTATTCGAAACCAACCATTTAGATATATAGTATCATTATTCGTATCAAGAAGCGACAGCGTTGCCAACCCGACATTCGCGAAGCATATCAATAGTCTATAGAGATAAGGTTAAAGAAGAAGTTAAGAAAGAAAGAAATTATCATAAGAAGCCACACCCATTTCATTCAGCTCAGTTCGGTCCACAGATAAACCCAAAGATCATCAGTTCGATATATTTCCATCCAAGCTCTACTCCCCACCCTGTCTCTTTTTCCTTTTGTTTTTCTTCTTCTTTTGTGTACTTCAACTGGTTCACTTCCTTCGCGGCTAGCATCTTCGTTCAACTCCCTTGCGACTCACACACAGGTACTTGACGCCCTTGTAGGGTTTCACACCCTCGCCGAGACCGCGACTTCGGCGCGGGTCGATGTTCAGGCTATCGACTTTGATGCCGGAGGGGAGCCAGCCGCGCACGGAGAAAGAGACGGAGGCGGAGTTGGGCATTAGGTTGGTGTTGAGTTGGGATTTGGTCTTGCGGGGCGCGGTGTGGAAGATCGAGTCTTGGTCTTGTGGGGGAGGAGGGGGCTGGAGAGGGAGATGGGACGATGAGGAGCCAGGGTCTTGTTGGGATGCTGAGGTCTCAGGCTGGAGTTCGGGTGCTTCTTGTGGTTGTTGCGAGGAGTCAGGATCCGGGGTCTGGTTGTCTGGATCGGAGGTGGAGAGGGGGGGGAGGGTGTTGGCGGCGGCGGCGGCGCGGGAGGACTTCTTGACCTTCTTCTTTTTCTTCTTCTTGGTCTTTCGTTTCGTGGTGTCGGTTTCGGCGTTCTGGTAGGAGGTGGAGGCGGAGGCGTCGTAGTAGCCCTGGAGGAGGTTGGCGTCCTGATCGGCGTCTTCAACATCCTCGTCGAGGTCGTCGTCGACGGGTTGATGACCTACGACGGTGCATCGGAGGACTGCGGTGCCAGACACGGTGCCCGCGTCTTTGGTCGGGACACGCCATTCGAGGGTGTGGCTGTTGGGCGAGAACACGGCGTCGCCGCGACTGGCCTGCATGTCTGTGATGTTTCGGACGAGCTTCGGGATAGGCACCGAAACCACGACTTCTTCGAGGACCGGGCCCGAGGAATTCCCTCCGCCTCCGAGGAACGACGGCGTCGAGGTACCGGATCCACCCCGTCCTACACCTGGCCGGTTGCTGGAGGACTGACCCGGGAAGTTGGTGTTGAGGAGAAGCCGGACTTCGAATTCGGATCCGGCTGTGCCAAGCGACTTGCGAATGTCCACCGACGCAGGGAGGAAGATCTTCTCCATGTGGTTGGGGGCCTGGTCGAGGCTCGCATCTATGGGAAGGAGATCCACTTCGTACCCAGCGAGAATGAATTGTCCGTCCGGAGGCACGAAGCTGAGCTCCCCGGGTCGTTCTCTCCACCTGGCCAGTCGCACACAGGGATGGAATACGGGAAGGTCGACCTTGCGCGCGATGCCCTGTTGTCCACCCGGAGTTGTCAAGGACAGTAGGAGGTCGGGAACGCCGGAGATCTTGGCCGTGAAAGCAATCGTGCCGGAAACCAAGGCCGACAATAATCGTCCCGACGGTGCCATCGTCACCGACAGAGACTCAATGATATCCACGTATAGTTCATTGGAGGTATGTCGTACGCCGGATTTCCGCCACGGGATTGCCGGGCCTTGGGCGGCGGCATTGGCGGCTAACGATTGCTTGAGGGGGTTGGAGGGTCCTAAAATAGGTGTTGACGAGCTGCATCTCAGCGGAGAAAGTCAGCCTCCAGCATGATCACCGTCCGAAAGACCGGATAGATACGAACCCCGGTAACCCAACACCTCCCAACAGCTTCCCCATCCATCCCGGCATTTCTACCACCTCCTGTATGGCATTGGACTCCGTGTTACATACGATGCCCGCATCGCACATTTCATGGAGAAGCTGTGCAACCACATCGTAGTTTGCCTGCACCTTGGGCGAGAGAAGAGGTGCACCCACGAAATCCTCGAGTATATCAACAACGCGGTGCAGGAACTCCAACACCAGCAGAGGTTCCGTGTCGATTTCGGAAAGCGCGAGAAACAGCAAGTTGGACTGGACGATCGAGAACACGGTGACCGGCGGTGACGCACTAGGGAGGTATAGAAGCGAGGGGCGGGGGGCCGGATGGTCAAGGTAGAGGGGCAGGATCGCTGCCGCGGAGGGCGGACGGGAGCGATAGACCTGCTCTACCAACGGGCTACTATTGATGAGAGGTCAATACAGGAGGAGGAGGAGAGAAGACGAAGGAAGCCAATGACCGTACTTTTGTTCGTCGTAGATGTACAGCGCATCGATCTCGCCGCTCATCATGCCGGCCTGGAGTTGTCTGGAGTGCAGAGAGGAGGCAGACACGGCGATGATGAGGGATCATGCGCCGTTGATGAAATGCGCTCCGTTCTGCCACCGATCGCCGCCTTCTACCCCGTCCGATTAATTCATGTCTTTATCAGTGCCTGAGCTTCTCGGATTCCCGCGTGAATTCCTCTCCCTCTCCAGCATCGCTTGCCTGTTTACCTCAATGGCCGGGTCCGCGGAAAACAAAGGCGGCTGGGACGTCCAGTCCGAAGATGCGAAACGCCTACTAGCGGAAGATAAATACGATGACTGTCTATCGTGCAGAGTTACCGGTGAGTTGGTACTTTGAGCTCCCGCAACTGGATGAGACGCTGCAGATGGTCTGACGCAGATGCGATGCACTCAGGTTCCGCTGCATTCATCGGTCTCGGAGTATACAGCTACTACACGGGCATGAGCAATCTACGAAAGCAAGAGACCGCGGGCATGCTGCATGCAACAAAATACAAGATGGGCTCCCGACAACTCGGCATCGCAACGATCTCCGCGACGCTGGTGGGCATGGGAATCTACAGAGCCCTGAACTGATGACTCGAGACGGCGTCACAATGTTATGTATACTACCAGAATCTCTCTATGTTACACATATTGCACACATGAATGCTGTTTGCTATAGAACGATTTGCAACCCAATCATTAATAAAGAATGCTCGCAATTCAAGCATCACAACGGCTGCCTCACTGGGTATCGCCATATCTTAATAACCTCTATATGTTTAAACCTAATAAAGACAAAGAGAACGGAAACGAAAAGGATAGGATGAAGAGAAAGACATGACGGGGGAAAATATAAAATGTGTAAATAAATGAAGATGAGGTTAAAGATGAAAACCATGATGAGAGACAAGGGAAATAATGCAACTCCCACAAAATGCACCGAGAATGTAGAAAAGGGAATCAACCGCTGCGTAACCGTAAGAATACTATGTTCGTCCAACTTCGTCGAGTTTCATATTCTTTAGGTGAACCGCCCGCGTTTGCCCCCTCCAAATATGTCCCTATTTCCAAGACCTGATAGATCGAAAAAGTCGGGGACGGCGAATTTGCGCTTAGAGCCTAACCCTACCGAGCCCACGGAGGGCTCTCGTGTTGAAGCTCGAGGGTTCGTTCGAGACAGGTTGTTGTGGCGGTTTGGTTGGCGAGGGTTTCGAGGCAAGACAGACACGCTGACGGGTGCTCCGTCGGATGATATCCCGGTGGAACTATCTGAAGGCTGCATGTCGACATCGTGCTCCTGTAGTTGCGGGAAGGAGGGTCCGGCTGCGAAAGTGAAAACGGCGGGCTTATCCAGAGTGTTGGCTTCGACGACGGCTGGGTTGGCAGGGGACGAGTGTTGGGCAGGAGTCGGTTCTTCAACCGAAGGCGATGCCGATTTAGCCGGTCGGCGAGGGGTTTCTGGCTCATGGTGATCCTTGCGAGCCTTCGCCGACGGAGAGCCATGGTGTTTCTCAACGTCGTCGTCGTCGCTGGGGGTGCCCGTTCCATCACTCCGCTCCGTAGCCCATTGCCGGATCGTCCAGCCTTCCCCATCACCAAGACCGATGTTCTCCCGGTCTAGAAATTGCAACAGGTCCTCAATGGCCTCCTGGTAACCGGCCTGTTTGGCCTGGGCCTGCTCGCAGACGGCATTCTTGTAGAGGTTGGTGACTGACAACGCAGCGGCCTTGAACGATTGCAAAAGTTGCTCGGGGGGCTGGGTACGAGGCGTAGAGCTCGGTAGGGAAGTGTTGAGTGATCTCATGGAATCCATGTCGAGGGGGGCTGCAACTTTTCAGCTGCAGTATGATCTCCAAGCAACGAGTCCGCTAGGAGGGGTGAGGTGAACCGTGCTTCAGAGGCAAATAAATGATTGCAGGTGGCCAAAAGGGTTGCCCAGAGATATAAGGGAGGACCAATTATACAAAAAAAAAAAGGTAGAGAGGAGGTAAGGAGGAGAAAGATTTAAATGAGGGAGGGTCGGTCGAGGGCAAACCGAGGGTGAGGGCGATGAGGGATAGGTCACGACAATATGCTGCAGATGATCTTTCTTTGCTTCTGACCCGGTAACGTGACCCACCGCGGGGAAACTTGTCTTCCGCGGCTGGATGACTCAGCCCTGACTCAGCCAGAGGTCGCGTCTCCCGTCCAATCAGCGCGTGAACTGGCCGCGCTTCTCCGGCAGAATTGCATTTGCCCTCCCGGCGCGCGACTGACGGACGTCCTTCATCATTCATCCTTTCTGCCTTGCGACCTCCCTCCCTTTCTCGCTCCCGGACCCGCCAATCCCTGAATATTTCCTTTCGAACTCAACCCACCTCCGGCGCTGTGGGTCGTACCTCTCTCCTTATTATTTAGTTCCGCTGTCTCTCGTCCGGTTGTTGGAACGCCTCGGGGCGTGTTGGAACCCTACTTTCTCCATTCACATAGTGCGCTGAACACCAAGATGGCGCCTTCAGCTGCCCCGACCTCAGACCCGCCATCCCAGGCCGATACGCCCATGAACGATGCCAACGAGGAGCCCGTCACATCGGTTCCTGTTGATGGTCCGGACGCGCATATGACGGTAAGTTAGAATCAAAACTACTTTTTGCGAACACCGACAACTATGTGTTGGTCTACGGGTTTCGGTTTCCTCAATAGCAGACCCCGGTGGCCGCGCTCTGAATGTGCAGGAATGAGAACCAAGGAACACCAGACTTCACAGAAACTGTTGATCAATTGCGAACTCGGCTCGGATGTTAACTTGGGCGCAATGCAGGACTCCGATACCAACCCGAACACCACAGCAAGCAGTGTTACAGGCGACTCAGTTCACCCTGACGGGAGGAGGAAACGGTCCGAGGTCTTTCACATGAGGAAGAGCCTTCTGGGTAAAAAGCACGGTCGTTTGGATGAGTCTAAGGTAGAGTAACCCTCATCGACCGCGTCTGCCAAATTTGTTGCGGTCACTGATTTCTTTTTGGCGGAACTTCAGGAAGATGATTCAATTCGACGATTCCGTTACCTTCTCGGGCTGACCGATCTGTTCCGTCATTTTATCGAAACAAACCCCAACCCTCGCATCAAGGAGATCATGGCTGAAATCGACCGACAAAACGCCGCGGAAGAAGCGAAGGCTCGCAAAGGCTCATCGCGGACGGGTGGTGCTGGTAACGATCGACGCCGCAGGACTGAACAAGAAGAAGACGCGGAGCTGCTGAGTGATGAGAGGAGTGGCGGCGAAACCGGCACGGTATTTCGCGACTCCCCGCCTTTTGTCCACGGCGAGATGCGTGATTATCAAGTTGCGGGTCTGAACTGGCTTGTGTCCTTGCACGAGAACGGTATCTCGGGTATACTGGCAGATGAGATGGGTCTGGGTAAAACCTTGCAGACAATCTCTTTTCTCGGCTACCTTCGCTACATCTGTGATATCCCCGGCCCTCATCTGATCGCGGTTCCCAAGTCTACGCTCGACAACTGGAAGCGAGAATTCATGAAATGGACGCCCGACGTTAATGTGCTTGTGCTCCAAGGTGATAAAGAACAGCGCCACAAGTTAATCAACGAGCGACTTCTCGACGAAGACTTCGATGTCTGCATTACGAGTTACGAAATGGTTCTTCGGGAGAAATCTCACCTCAAGAAGTTCGCCTGGGAATACATCATCATCGACGAGGCTCATCGGATTAAGAATGAGGAGTCGTCCCTCGCACAAATTATTCGTGTCTTCAACTCTCGGAATCGGCTGCTGATCACCGGTACCCCACTTCAGAACAACCTCCACGAACTCTGGGCCCTCCTGAACTTCCTTTTGCCTGACGTTTTCGGTGATTCGGAAGCTTTTGACCAGTGGTTCTCTGGTCAGGATGCCGATCAGGATACCGTCGTACAACAACTTCATCGGGTGCTCCGGCCATTCTTGCTTCGTCGCGTTAAGAGCGATGTCGAAAAGAGTCTACTTCCCAAGAAAGAGCTCAATTTATATGTCCCTATGTCTGAAATGCAAGTGAAGTGGTATCAGAAGATCCTCGAGAAGGATATCGATGCTGTGAACGGTGCCGCCGGCAAGCGGGAATCCAAAACTCGCCTGCTGAACATTGTTATGCAACTCCGCAAATGCTGCAATCACCCCTACCTCTTCGAAGGTGCTGAGCCTGGCCCACCCTACACGACCGACGAACACCTTGTCTTCAATGCTGGCAAGATGTCGATTCTTGACAAGCTCCTGGCGCGGATGCAGAAGCAGGGAAGCCGAGTGCTCATTTTCTCACAAATGAGCCGTGTCCTGGATATTCTGGAAGATTACTGTGTATTCCGAGAATACAATTACTGCCGTATAGACGGTACCACAGCCCACGAGGATCGAATCGCTGCCATTGACGATTACAACAAGCCGGGCTCGGACAAATTTGTTTTCCTACTCACGACACGAGCAGGAGGTCTCGGTATTAACTTGACATCTGCAGATATTGTCGTGCTTTATGACAGCGATTGGAATCCTCAAGCGGATCTTCAGGCTATGGATCGTGCTCACCGTATCGGTCAGACCAAGCAGGTGGTCGTATTCCGTTTCGTCACCGAAAACGCGATTGAGGAGAAGGTTCTTGAGCGTGCAGCGCAAAAGCTGCGACTCGACCAACTTGTCATCCAGCAAGGTCGTGCGCAACAGCAGACTAAGAATGCTACCTCCAAGGATGAACTTCTTGGTATGATTCAGCACGGAGCTGCCAATGTCTTCGGCAACAATTCCGATTCGGCATCTCTGTCTGCCGAAAAGCAAATATCCGATGATAGTTTCGAGGATATCATGCGCAAGGGTGAGGAGCGAACCGTCGAGCTGAACAAGAAATATGAAAAATTGGGTATCGATGATCTGCAGAAGTTCAGCTCCGAGAGCGCTTACGAATGGAACGGCCAGAATTTCACGGAACGCAAGAAGGATATTGGCGTTAACTGGATCAACCCGGCCAAGCGCGAGAGAAAGGAGCAGTTCTACTCCATCGACAAGTACTACCGACAGGCCTTGGCTACTGGCGGAAGAACTGCGGACCCGAAACCCAAGGCGCCGCGGGCTCCCAAACAGATCACCGTTCACGATTGGCAGTTCTTCCCGCCGGGACTCCAGGAGCTCCAGGAGAAGGAGACTGCATACTTCCACAAGGAAATCGGATATAAGGCCATTCTTGCCGATGGTCCCGAGGAGGAGCTCAGCGAACGCGAGGCGGAACGCGATCTGGAGCAACAAGAAATTGACAATGCAGTTCCTTTGACCGAGGAGGAACAAGCACAAAAGGCGGAGATGTCCGAAGAAGGGTTTTCAACTTGGAACCGCCGTGATTTCCAACAGTTCGTCAACGGGTCAGCCAAGTTTGGGCGCACTGACTATAACGGAATTGCCACCGAGGTGGACAGCAAAGAACCCGACGAAATCGAGGAATACGCCCAAGCTTTCTGGGATCGATACACTGAGATCCAAGATTATCCCAAGTATCTCCGGGTCATTGAACAGGGCGAGGAGAAACTTCGCAAGATGAACCATCAACGCAAGATGCTCCGCAAGAAGATGGAGATGTACCGCGTTCCCCTCCAGCAACTCAAAATAAACTACACCGTGTCTACTACCAACAAAAAGGTCTACACGGAAGAGGAGGATCGGTTCCTCCTAGTAATGTTGGACAGATACGGAGTTGATGGCGAAGGTCTCTACGAGAAAATCCGGGACGAGATCCGCGAATCGCCTCTTTTCCGCTTCGATTGGTTCTTCCTCAGCCGAACCCCCGTGGAGATTGGCCGTCGCTGTACCACTTTATTGAATACGGTCGCCAAGGAGTTTGAGCCTGGCGACGGGAAAGCCAACGGCGAGAACAAAGGCCGTGGACGTGACGAAGACGTCGAAAATGAGGAAGACGGCCCGCCAGCCAAGAAGAAGAGCAAGGCTGCCGTGGTAAGTACCTCTTTACAGAAAATTTCCTGTTCACCTCCCAGCGCATCTAGCTAACTAGCACCAGAATAAACAGGTCAAGGCTGTCAAGGGCAGTGCCAAAGGCAATTCTCCATCCTCGTCACGGGCGGCTAGCGTGTCGTCCAACGCAGCTTCGAAATCGAAGAGCCGAAAGAAATAAATCCTTGCATAACCTTTGTTTTTCCTTTTTGATCAACAGTTTGTATTGTTATGACTGGTAGGTAGTCTTGTTGGGAATATTATATTGGCCATGGATTTCCATATACGTCGGGTGGGGCGTTGGCTGATAGATGCCATTTGTGTTTTATGATTCTTGCTATCCATTTTTCTCTTATTTTCTCCCGGTTCCTTGTACTATGAGAGCTATTTCCTATCAGATCAAATTCAAGATGTATACAAAAGCAATAGAATGCTAATATTACGTTACTTCTATCTTACCTACTCGGGTAGCTCCATCATATTAAGGCCGAGCTTGGTCTGCCCCGGTGTTTAAAACGTAGACGGCTCAAGTTTTCAAAAATAAGTTGTAGAATTCAGCGATACAGACTCGTTCTATATATATACTACCTATGTGTACTCATACGCATTCAAATCAAGGCTTTGCCTCATGTATCGAAGTGCCTAGACCTTAATACATATAAAACCGGGCTTCACCAAGTCAACAGGCCTCCATCAGATTGATCGATTGGACATCATTGAACGACCATGGTACCAATAGCTATTAATTCACAATCTGCACTGCACCAAACCGAAGTTTGCTGATATCAAATACCTGCAAAAATGTCAATATCAACCCCCAATGACTCAACAGAAAAAACTTACTGCATAGATCCCCTCCAAGAAAGAACGCCCAAGGACATCGAACTCGATCGACCCCCGACTCTGAACCCCTCCATATACGTAACCAGGCTTGGCTTCAGAGAACCCCAGACTGCTTTTCGGCACGCTGAAAAGCTTTCCCCCAATATCTAGCTGAATCGTGGGCAGTTGATCCTGATCGGTATTGGTCGGGAATAGGAATCCCTGACTTTCGCCATCGTAGAATGCCCCGGGGATAGCATCATAGATTGCCTGACAAATTCTGTCCTCAAGCAAGGTAAGCGCTGCGTCGGTGTCAATGATCGCGATATTCTGGGGCCGGTCGAGGACTGTTCCCGCTATATATGCGGTTGTGGATTCGAAGGACCAGAGCTTGTGGCTCTTGTCAATGGGCGCATAGTGTATGATATCTTCTCCGACATTCTCATCGATCCCCCCGAACGTAAAGAACGGGCCTTCTTGACCAGAGCCATTCGACGGGGAGAATTTCGCTGTAAAGAGTTTGACAGAGGACGCTAGATCATCTTGGCCCTGTATAGTCTCGACTAAGCTCTTGACTTCAGGTCGAATATTGGATGCAGCTCCAAATGCGAGCCCTAGGACGCCGTCTGCTGCGGCTTGGTCGAATCCAGAGGATAGGGTGTCCGCAATGGCGATATGTTGGGTCTTGACGGTCACCTCCTCCCCGAGGATGACATTATCAGCTACAACAGAGCCAGACGCAGAGGAATTATCCAAGTTGGAAACTTTCCATGAGGATTGCTCGGCAATCGAAGAAGTGGTTGACTTGGATGGATCAAAAGCCCGACGATCCTCATCCTCTCGCGACTGAACAATAGACCGTACCTAGTGATGGTCAGTAGAGCTCGCTCTTAGAACAACCAACTGGACGGTGATGACTGTGTTACATACCCAGAGATCGCTCGGCCCGGTATCAGGAACCAGATTCAGGACCTGCGGAGGCGATCCGATCGAAACCGGAACGAAGTACATGCTATCATTCTGAACGTCGTCGGCATCCACCTGGTGCATGTCCTTGTTGGAGAATTGCTTCTGCATGACATCGTGGAAGCGGACCCTGCCGCCGACTGGTTTACTGGTGAAGGGCCGACCGGTCTGGTGGATCGTACGACCGATGGAATAAGGGCCGTCTCGAGTGGGGTGGATGCCGTATTTGCGTATTAAATAGGCGTAGGATTTGATCCCGGATCTGCGGTAGCGGGGGTTGTGGACAAGGGGAACTTTGGATACCATGGTGCGGGCGGGTGATGGTGATGGTTACAGATGGATAAACCAGGGTTGTTGTAAAGACAAGCAATCGATGAGCGCAGGGATGTTTAAATAGAGTGACGGCATCCGTAACAGGGGAGGGCCATTAGCTGCTGATTAGACGCCGAGTGCAGGGACATGACGTAAATTGGTCCTGTTATTTGCAAAGAAGTCTGATTAGATGCGGTTGTTTATTTACTAATGTACATGGCTAACTATACAGCGTCTCTATGCCGTTTCAATGTATATTCTTCATGCTCGACGAGGTTTTTCCTTCTTCTCCTTCTTCTCTTTCTGGGGCACGTCCGACACAGCAAGTGGAACCCGCAAGAACATCTCCATTAGCAATGCGGCTGCAACGCTCACGTTGAGACTGTCGACCCGGGCCGGATCGGACTCAACTCCCAATTCCATACTGAACCGAGACCCGGGAATGCTCACGATAGAATCGGCATGAGATTTAATGTGGTTGCTCAGCCCTGCGCCCTCACTGCCCATCATTATCACGCTGGGCGTTTGTGCGAAGCCCAGGCCGTTGTTTGAAGCTGTTTCTCCACCGGCCGACAACGAGTCCACAAACGTCGATCCAGGGCCGGGGGCGTCTGCAGCGTAGAAACGCCAGCCGTTCTCCTTCGATCGTCGAATGAAGTCGACCTCGTTGCTGACTTCCAGGAGAGTCATGTTCTCTGCAGCACCTGCGGAAGCTTTGATGGTGACAGGAGACAGTGGTGCCGAATTTTTACCCGCGAAGATGATGGCGTCAACTCCAAGGTAGTAGGCCGAGCGGATGATGGCACCGAAATTACCCGGATCAACAATACCATCCAAGAGTAGAACAACCGGGAATCGTTGTCGCCCTTGCGAATGGTGAATTGCAATCCGGTCGTTCATGCCGTTCACCATCGCTTCTTCCCGGGATTGACTTCCCAATTCCACGGAGAAGTGGCTTTCCTCAACAGATTCAACCTTCTTCAAGCTTTTCACGGGCAATTGGGGCAGATGGGATGCTTCAACAATGCAGCCATTGTGAGGGCGACCAGCGCTCATCTTATCGAGAAGTCGGTCCCAATCCCCGAAAGCCAGTTTCACCTTGATACCCTTGGCAAGCGCGATTTTTCGTAGTGCATTCTTGGAGGGGCTCAATTCCTCGCCAGCGCTCAGGTAGAGGTACAGCGTGTACAGCTTGCGCCGGCTGCAGCGCAAGGCAGCCTCAACTGCGCTAGTCCCATAAATGAACTCCGACGCGGGGGTAGTATAAGGAATGGAGTCCGGAACTTTTACGTGTTCCTTAACACGTTCTGGGGCTGTTTCTGTGGATCGATGAGGCTTTATCTTTTCGGCTTTCTTTGGTCGTGGCGTTTTTTGAGGTTCAATGTCCGCATCGCGGTTGTTGCGATTACCAGGAGATCTCTGAGGGCGCTGGAGTTCGAGAGGCAATGCCCGGAAATTGCCAGTCCTGATGAACTCGTCCTCATCGAAATTCTTCATAGCCCACTTCTTCTCCTCTCCTCGGCGATCTTCAGTCCTTGGGGATCTGGAATATTTCGATCGATCATTTTGGCGGCCTCCCTCGCGGCGTGAATCTCGAAAGTATTGTTGGCGTCCATCTTCACGGAAGGAGCTTCTCGCATTCGGTCGGTAGCCATCCTCACGGGGTGAACTTTTCACAGTTCTTTGGTAGCCATCTTCGCGAGGCGAGCCTCTGGCATTTGGCCGATAGCCATCATCACGGGGAGAGCTTCTGGCAGCTTGTCGGTAGTTGTCATCACGGCCAGAGCCTTTCTCAAACTGTCGACGGCCATCTTCACGAGGCGAGTCCTGGCCAGTTGCACGAGATCTGCGGATGCCGCGTCCGATGGCCGAGTTCAAGGACGCATGCCTTACAGAGAGCAGCAAGTGAGCAGACGCAGATGCTGGTAGTCGGGGGTATAGCCGAAGGGGAGTGGCCAAAGCAGAGGTGAACATTGAAACGAAAGAATGGATTGCGACCACTCGAGTACTCCGTGAGGCCAGCTGCGACGATCGTAGAGAAAAGACGATGGATTTTCCGCCGCGCGCGATCGAGTCCGATAAGATAAGGCTCAGCGGGACAACATTCTTCCGACGTGAATTGGCGCGCGACGGCGCGTTTTGATCGGCGGGATTTATGCATGTGAATTGAGGGCCAGATCTATTTACCTCCCTACTCCGTACCATCCACCTCAATTCCACCTCCTCCTCACTGCGGATTCATGGCGGGCCTTACTCTTTATACATGGAAGCGCTGATGGCATGTCCCGTTTCTTTCTTTGTTTCTGTATGCTTTCGGTCAAGCCAACCAGTCCACGATGGACTACGAATCGGCCGCCCAGTTGAACGACGACGCTGTCGCTCAACTGCTGCCTCAGTTCAATGATGCTGGACCGACTACTGCACCCAAGGATCCTCCCCAGGAAGAGGATTCTTTGTCCGAATACGCATTGGCCCAACAGGCTTTGGCTTCGCACGCTCTTTTCGGAAATGCCTCCGCAGATAATAGTCGAGTCGAAGATCCGGTTGAAAACGACTTATCCCAAGACGCCGTACCTGAGAACACTGTGGCTGAGAGCGTTTCAATAATAATGGAAATCCCTGAGGCTGATGATCCTGTGCGATCAACTACTCGCCGCCGAGCAGCTCGAGCAACTACAGTCGAAAAGGTTGACCACATACCTCAGACCTTGCAGTTACCTCAAATCGAAGTTCCTTCCCTCGCCGACAGCAACGAATACGAGTTCCTTCCTGGGCACTTTGAAGTTCACTGTGTGATCAGTGAAACGGACCCTGTCAACGAGATTTACAAAGTCAAGCTACGGAGTGGAGAGATCGACACGGTTTGTTCTCTCACTTAGTCTTTCCTTACTCTCACCTCAACCTTTACTTTTCCTAACTTTTTGCTTGATAGGTATCATCGACTCAGCTCGAATCCCTAACCAACGGACAAGAAGCCTTGATCCATTTCCAACTGGATGGACCGCGCAACCTATCCACGGAAGACGACTCCTCATCTGACTTGCAACCACGAAGAAGGGGTCGCCGTTTAACTCGACCCCAGTACGCCGAATTTGCCTCTACTGAAGACGATTCCTCTTCTGAAGCGCAGCCTCGACGAAGGGGTCGCCGCTCTACTCGACTTAAACAGACCACATTTACAGACTATTTTGACAACGACAGCGACAGGATGAGTCGCACCCGTGATTCGAGCGATGACATTATCGTGTCGTCGAGGAAAACCGGCAGGAAGCGTCAATTGCGAAGAGGCCGCCGTGCCATAAACTTGGAAGAAGGCTCAGATGCCGACAATGATTTTGTCTCCGCCAAGGGAACTCGGTTTTCGACTCGGACGCGCAAGAGCGCGCGGGAGAATCTTCGTGACCGATTCGAAGATGACATTTCCGAGCATGAAGAAAGCTCGAGAAAGCAGAAATTCTTCGGTGCTAGGGAAGTCTTCTATTCGGTTCCATCAGATGATCCCTTCCGACTCAAACATCGGGACTCGTGCGATGCTTGCCGTGAGACTGAAGATGACAACGACAAAGGCCCTCTCGTATTTTGCCAAGGATGCACCAGTGCCTATCACCATTCTTGTCTCGGTCCCAGGGCAACGCGGGAACATCTGGTCACCAAAGTATCAGAAACCCTTTTTCTCCTGCAATGTCGCCGCTGTCTGGGCGTGGCTCGCTCAAAAGATTCTATTAATCCTCATCTTGGCTGCTGTACCTCGTGCAATGTCAAAGGGAACATGGCCGAGCCACTGAGGGAACGCTTGTCGCCCAAGCAGGAGCAGGAGCTTCGCCAGCAGAATGATGGGAAAGATCCAGCTACTTCTGTAGACGAAGCCCGCGTGAACAACGTTGATAATATACTCTTTCGCTGCATTTCTTGCCAGCGGGCATTTCACTTCGAACACCTGTCGTCGTCCGACGAAATGTGTCAGGACTGTGTCTCGGTTCCCAGGGAGGTCGGTGCCATGGTCGCCTGGAGGCCCAAGGATCCGAAGAATCTTATACCAGGTTACACGGCAACTGTCCTGGAGGAATCGGATAAGGATTACCTGATTAAATGGAAAAGTCAGCCCTATAGTCAGTCCACCTGGATGGATGGGACCTGGGTCTGGGGTGTCGCGAGTCACACTATGCGTCACGCATTCCTCAAATCCGACAAATGCTTGACCCCCCATATGACGGTCGAGGAGGCCATTCCTGAGGATTATATGCGCATTGATATTGTTTTTGAAGTGCAATTCTCCGGTAATAACCCACGTGATCGGACTGAAGAGGTGGACATGGCCCGAGTGGATCAGGTATCGAAGGTCTACGTGAAATACAAAGGCCTGCCTTACGAGGAAACAGTCTGGGATTCACCTCCGGATAGAAGTCAAACCGAACGATGGGATGATTTCATCGCGGCTTACAAAGACTGGGTGCGCCGTGATTACGTCCATACCCCCGACACGCAATCTCTTAACAAGCACCTTGCTCATGTTCGAAAGCAAGACTTCAAAACTAGCGTCGTGAGAGAAACTCAGCCAGAGATCATGACCGGAGGAGAGATAATGGATTACCAGAAAGACGGGATGAATTGGTTGTATTACATGTGGTTTAAACAGCAGAATGCCATTCTTGCCGATGAAATGGGCCTTGGAAAAACCATCCAGGTCATTGCCTTATTTGCAACCCTCATACAGGATCACAAATGCTGGCCCTTCTTGGTTATCGTGCCTAATTCTACCTGTCCGAACTGGCGGAAGGAGCTCAAAACATGGGTACCCTCTATTCGAGCAGTGACTTACTACGGATCCGCATATTCGCGACAGCTTGCTCAGACGCATGAAATGTTTGGTAGCACTGACAAGCGTGATCTCAGATGCCATGTCGTTATAACGTCTTATGATGCCATGACCGATGATGCATCTCGAAAGGTCCTTTCTAGGATCCCCTGGGGTGGATTGATTGTAGACGAGGGCCAGCGATTGAAGAACGACAAGAGTCAACTTTACGACTCTTTATCGCGAATCTCATTTCCTTTCAAAATCCTTCTTACCGGCACTCCCCTTCAGAACAACATTCGAGAATTGTTCAACCTTTTGCAATTCCTCGATCCTACTCAAAATGCCGAAAGGCTGGAAGAGGAATTTGGTGTTCTTTCGAAGGAGAACATTCCCCAGCTACATGACATGATCCGTCCATTCTTCCTCCGAAGAACGAAAGCGCAGGTGCTCACCTTTCTTCCGCCAGTCGCCCAAATCATTGTCCCAGTGTCAATGACGGTGGTTCAGAAGAAATTATACAAATCCATTCTTGCCAAGGACCCAAAGTTGATCAAAACAATCTTTCAACGAGAGGACGAAGACCAGTCGACCAAACAAACAGAGCGTCACAACCTGAACAACATTCTCATGCAGCTGCGGAAATGCCTGTGTCACCCCTTCATTTACAGCAAAGCAATTGAGGAGCGTAGTGCGAATGCGGAGGCGGCTCACCGGCATTTGGTGGACGCGGCCGGAAAGCTTCAGCTATTGGAATTGATGCTGCCCAAGCTTCAAAAGCGTGGCCATAGAGTTTTGATTTTCAGCCAGTTTCTGGACAATTTGGACCTTGTGGATGATTTCCTAGACGGAATTGGGCTCTCGCATCGTCGTCTCGATGGCCGAATGTCGTCTCTTGAGAAACAAAAGGTCATCGATGAGTACAATGCGGAGAATTCGCCCTATTTTGCTTTCCTTTTGTCGACCAGATCGGGAGGCGTGGGAATCAACCTGGCCACGGCTGACACCGTTATTATCATGGATCCCGATTTCAACCCTCACCAAGATATGCAGGCACTGTCTCGCGCGCACCGTATTGGCCAGAAGAACAAGGTGCTTGTCTTTCAGTTAATGACTCGGGGAAGTGCCGAGGAGAAGATCATGCAGATTGGCAAGAGCAAGATGGTTTTGGATCACGTTCTCATCGACCGGATGGATGCTGAGAACGACGATGGCCGCGATTTAGAGGCCATTCTTCGGCACGGAGCCCAGGCACTGTTTGAAGATGACGACTCGCGAGATATTCATTATGATTCGGAGTCTGTGGACAAACTTCTTGATCGCAGTCAAGTGGAGCAAGAGCGCCCTCGATCGCCCAACGAAGAAGGCAAGACCGCCGAGTCGCAATTCGGTTTTGCTCGAGTCTGGGCAAATGAATCCAACGAGCTCAGCGACCAATTACAGGATACTGATGAACCCCTACCTAACGCGACTATCTGGGAGAAAATCCTGCAGGAGCGGGAAGAAGCAGCCGCCGAAGAAGCTCGACGTAAAACTGAAACCCTTGGCCGAGGCAAGAGAAAACGAACCACCGTCGATTACGGTAACGAAGTGAACGAGGCGAACGAGGCGACCGAACTTTCTCCCGTCAAGGTGCGGCGCGTGCGCGATGCTGACAGCGACAAAGAATTTGTTGCCGGAGACGACCCTGTAGAATCGGAAGCTGATTCCGCCCCCGAGATGGACTCGGACAGCTTAGAGCGGGAGGTTGTCGTTTCTAAAGGTAATTCTTCCGCTTCCTTCTTTTGCCTTGGCCCTCTCGCGGCCTGGCCTGGCCTGGCCTGGACTGACAAAAGCCACAGTGAAACCCTTCAAACGCGTGTCTCCCACAGACGTTGCGCCCCCCGCAGTACCACCAGCGCTGGATGGCCATATGGACAACCGCCTTTTGTGTCTAGCCTGCAACCAAATCCACCCGGTTGGCCACTGTCGTTTGAAATTGGCCGGAGTCGAGCACTGCGGGCTTTGCGGGCTGGCTCATTTCGGACATGCGCGCACCTGTCCTCACATCCGATCCCAAATTCAAGTGGACCGGATGTTGAAGGCTTTGAAACAAAGCACCGAAGCCCCTGAACTTGTCCGCGCGGCTAAGAAATATCTAAACGGGGTGCGTGGCAATCTGGCACACGAGCAGAAGAAAAAGCTCGCCGCTCTGCACGGTCTCAGTCTTCCCGGCACGCCTGGGACTCCCGGGACTCCGGGCACTCCAGTCACCACTACCGCCAGTCCTGCCCCGGATCCACGCCTACTAGCGGCACAAGGTCAACAATCCATGGGACAGACCCAGCAGCCTCCTCTTAGGGGAAACCAGGTCGATCGCCATTTCTAGTCGAGAATTCTAAGGAGTTATGGGATCTTTTACAGATGCATACGGAGGTTTTCCTGTTTCTTCGTTTTCTTCTTTGGTTACTGGGGTTTTTAGGGCATGGGTAGGGGGGGGGGGGGGGGGGGGGGGGAGGTGGGGGTTTTACAAAACAAAAAAAAAAAAGAGAAAAAAAATATATATATTGATGTAAAAG